TGAATATGCGGAGTTAGGAAAAAGAGAAATATCAAACTATACTGTACCTACCTATATCTGTGATTCCCGTAAGACCTGTCGTACCCTCGCCCTTCTCCAGCTGTCGTGCTAGCGGAGTATCCCTGTACTGCTCCTTGTTTCCATTCCGGTCGTCGTCAAGTGTTGTTCTCATCTCGCTGACGGTATGTTGGGAGTGTCCTGCGAGCAACTTAGTCGGTTGCTACATAACCATAGGATAAGATGAAGATAATATAACATACCACCCAACTGCCCCGTCTGCTTCGCCGGTGTCTCCGTAAACAACCGGATAGATTCATACCTTACACCCACCATTAGCATTAATTTTAACCTTGGAAACAAATGTAGTAGGCTGGACATACTGCGTGTTCTCACCACCAGGCTCGATGTCCATGAGATTAGTGCCAGACATTATTCAAAGTGGATGTTCAGTATGTGTGATATTTTATGAATAGATAATTGATTTTTGAAGGTAGGTAAGTAGTTCAGAGTCTCGGGGAGAAGTCGGGGGATATGGTTGTGGTTGTGGTGGATCATCATCTATGGGATGATGACGTAGTCTATCTACTAGCCATCTAGACGATCAAGATGTCATCTCTACCAAGGTTCTGTGGAGAGGTTAACGCCCACTTCGTGTTTTGTTCCTGGCTGCTTTCGGTTGATCTTGATGCTTGATCACATGTCGTTGACTTGGGTTTGGGGATACGAGGATGTACTACTTTTTAGTTGGTGGTTGGCTTGGTATAGTCAGTATTTTGCTTATGCTTAGTTGGGTGTTGATTCGCTTGCTGTGAGCTGGTACCAGGGTTTCGGTGTGCATTCGTTTAATGCAAGATATATATTTAAGTTTTATGGCTTCTAAGAGATACAGGAGTAATGCATGCTAGAAATACTGAGGTGGGTTTCAGCTACGAGTCCCATAGTGGTCCAGATGAGATACGACCCCCGGTAGTGTACAATGAAGTCATTAAGAATCGTTGGGTATTATTGTCTTCGTGATTTTAAAATTCCATGCCCATAAGATAACTGTGCACGGGTTAGCGAATAAATTGAGCTGTTTCGGGGTATTTGGGGGTAGTCGAACCTTTCGTATATGCGCATGAACTTGGCAACGAATGCTTCGAGGTGGAAGATTACTTTCTGTGGAGGAAATTAGCCGTGTATCTTCGACATTCATGCAGCAAGTGAGAACCCTTACGCTGCCTTGAGTGATCCTGTGCTCATAGAACGCCGACCACCTGATGACATCAGGCTTTAGAGCATCGTCGACCTTTGTGATCAGGTTAAATGTCAAAGACTAGATCCCAGTTAGCATATCTGTTCCAGTCACCTAAAACGTACTGATCGAACCTTGATAATAGTAGTCGGTGGTATGCAATGCGTCAAAAGGTCGTATAAGCGTGCGCGGACTTGCAACAGACGAGCTGGCGATCGCTCAGCCAGGATCTCCTCGGCTGTCAACGCAATCAAAGCTTCCCAGTCGGGTGGTGGGATGAGCGTGTTATCCGTCACTTTCTCACTAGAAAAAGAGGCAGATCACGTTAGCTCTGGCACCCCAATAGATAACCAATCGAGGACGTACTTCTGAGCATAGATAGCCTCAAACATAAGAAGCGCGCGACGAAGATTCCGCCCGCTCTCCTTAGCAATCCTCTTATTTAACCCACTTGCCTCAGGCCATCCTTCCTTTTTAGCCGCGTTCCTCAGTACAGTGCAGATTTCCTCTTCATTCGGAGCAGCAACCCTGACCAGCAGGGTACGGGATCGGATAGGAGCGATAATATTCGAGGTGCTATTGGCCAACAGAATCAACCTCAAGTTGGGACTGTACTTCTCCATCGTTCGTCTCAGCGCTGCCTGCGCATCACGAGTAAGATGGTCGGCCTCGTTGATCACAACGACCTTGAAGCGCTGCTTCGCCGAGAGATCGACCTGCTGGGTCTGTGCAATCTCCTTCAACAGCTCTTGCACAACAACACGATCATAGTTTCCAACATCTGACGGGGTGATCTCCAAGTGATAGACCGAAGACACTATATTGAACTCGAGCTTGCGGTTGCTTGTCGTTTGAAAGACTCTAGCGTCGATCTTGATCTTTTCGACTCCGGAACCGTACAATTCTTTGAGCGTCGCGATGGTTCGTGTCTTTTTGCCGGCGCCTGAGGGTCCGTACATGAGCAGATGGGGGAAGTCGCCGCTTTGCGCCTAGAAACAGACATCATTGTGAGGATTGTACTCGAGGTGAATAGTATGAGCTTGAATTGCCTTACCAATGATTTCAGTCGCGCGGACAGCTCGGGGTGGTATGTGAGGGCATCTAGCGACCGCGGCCGCAGTTTGTCGACTAGCAAGGCCATTTTTGCAATTGAGTGTGCAGTTCAATAGTCAAAGGCTTCAGGGTCTTCACTCAGCAGTATGCTTTCCCTTCAGAGCCGATAGATAGCTTAGGCCGGGCGCAGACGCGTCGGGCGTGACACGCGAGCTTAATTGGCGGTCCGTGCCCTATGCTGACTATGCAGCAAATTCACCAATCACGTCCAGCCCTACAAAATCATTGCAGATCTACAATCGAGACGGTCAAGTACGTAGTAGCCAGAGAAACATTATAAACCTTGTCTACATTGAGGTGATAGATGTATAACAATGATTCCTCTATAATTCACGTTTGAACGCCTGAATACTATACATGATATGTCACCCCGCCCATTCCATACGAAAAGCTTCAGTAGTTCTCTGTATGTACATGCTCTATCTATGATACAATGATGGTCAGTGGGGTGCTTGGGACCATCAGGTTCAGGTTTTCATAATTGGCCCATGCAAGAGGAGAGATGGGTCTTCCGAATTTGCTCGGAGGGTCACACCGGAGCGAGCCAGGTCTCTGGGACATTCCGCTGGATGTCACAAGGCCAGGGTAATTTCGGGTATATACGGCTCAAAAGCATTTTACTGCGAGTCTGTTGTCGTAGAGAGTCTGATCGCTTGGCTCCTGGTATGTAGTACATAACAATCAGTCATGCCATTAGCTCGACGGCAATGGCTTCAAGACGCCATTGTCATCATATCGCGCCTCTGTTTCACATTGATTAGCCACATGATACCTCATCATTGGTTTGATCTGGGAGACTTACTGAAGAAGGTATATGAGAGCGTAATTGTGTCAATGCCCTTCATTGCTGGATCATTGGCAAAGTCAGGGTCGATGAAGAAGAACACCGGCATGTCAACCGACTCTCCAGCATTCAGCTTCTGCTCGTCGAAGCAAAAGCATTGGATCTTGCTGAAGTAGGGAGCAACCTGTCCGGGAGTGACACTATACGTCGCTACACCAATAATATCCGTTGGGCCCTTGTTTGTCGCTGTGAAGAATGCAAGTGCTGTCTCGCCCGGAAGAACTCGAACTTCACGTTGTTGCGGTGTAAACTTCCATGGTAAAACATCCGAAACTGATCCATTAAACGTGATTCTCAAACGACGGGAGTCGGTGACCGGAGTGACGCGGGAAGAGGTATCGCCGTCACCTACACGGTGAGTAGCTACGGGTTGACCGTTCCAGCCGGTTTGTTGGCAGATCTGTATGAGTGAAGCCGTTAGCCTCTGCCGCAGACTAGATTTCAAGAGCAGGGTTGTCGAACCATTTTGTACAGAGGGACGGAGCCATAGGCAAGCGCAACGGTTCCGAGAATAAGACTGGCTGTATAGTACCTATGACCTATTAGACAGGAACTACTGATGCAATTGCGATCCTTCAACATACATTGTCGACGCATTGCGCTTTTTCGACTGTGGCGTATTGAAAGGTGCGTTGATATTCTGCCGGAGACACGAATTGCGAGTGAAGAATCTCCTCCCAGAGTCAACACATCGTGTATTTGAGATGGTGGCCGGGCGGAGGCCGGGGCCCGACCAAGGAAGCCGACCCCATGAGGAGATCGGGCGCGAGAACATCGTCAATGATTATATGCGCTGCGGGGAGATATGGAGAGATGCCATCTAGAACTCCGATTGGGATAAGGTACCTGAAGCACGTGATACGATCAGGCAATGCTTTTCTGTCAGTTGTATTATACCGCCTATAATGCCGCCTTCCTTGTTCCGCGCGCCCGATGGTAGCCGGGACTTGTAATTCTATCCCAAACTACCAGATTCGGCATCTCGTTCACCTTGCTAGGGCTATGACTTTAGTCTGTTTAGGAGATTTGGACAATTTAGGCACCTTGATTCTCATTGTGATTATTTGTATATAACATTGATGCTTGGCTGTATGAGAACGACAAACAAACAAATGTGAACATCTGCGATACTGTAGCCAGGCTCGGTAATATATACCTGTAGGGCAAGTAGTGGTAGGTACTTAGTAGTAGCTTACCACAAGTTTAAGATGAAGTTCTATCATGATGATATGACTACATGCCTTCTACTCAAGTCAAAGCACTTTTAGGTGCACTAAAGTATGTAGTACCCTAAGTACCATCACAAGATGTCTCAAACCCAGAGAAAGCTTGTTGAACATCCTGGATGCAGCAAAATCCGATAAAGAGATACGCCGAGTTTTGGCCCTATCAACCCCTTTATATTGCCAATGTAGAATTAAGGCAGGTTGATCTCCCCCTAGGATAAGATTAACTCTAAAACATTTGTCTTCTGTTTCAGATGAGCTTCTAGACACTCTGAAAACTAAAGAAATCGTCAAGTTTTTATTCTTGGGCTCTCCCAAATTTAGGGTGCCGGTTTCCCAATAACGGGCATCTATGGTGGGCCAGGAGAGAAAAATGAGATCAGATAAACTTATCGGGGCGGGAGATTTGCGCTTGACCAAGATGGCGATTCTTTGCCCTATGGCTTTGTTCGAGAGTGAAACACCTACAGACCTGGCTAGATTGCTTGCTTTTGTTCATTCAATTCTCGACGAACAATGATGGCATAATAATACATATCAGAACCCCTAATGATACCCTGTATAGTTACAGTGAGAGTGACGAAAGAAACAACAATAAGTCTATACATGTAAAGGTCCGGTCGCAAACGCCGTTCGCTCAGCGCAATCACGCCAGCACGCTTCTACCGATTCGACCAAATACACCCCGAACCATATCAGGCCTCTCTTGGAGACAAGTAAGAAGAATGGCGGCGCTGATAGAAAATGCTATACATTCCCGGTTTTGATACTAGATAAGCCACAACGGTTAGAAAGTGGTACAATGTTCGACGAAGCTAGAATGGGATGGCGCAGAGAGCGGCAAGACGAGTGTGACAACTCCCAAGCTCTGCAACCACTGGGTGATATAAAAGTATTTGAACTCACCTGTTTCTCGTAATATCTTGGCAGAACAGTTGCGACAGCCCTGGGAGCCACAAATAGTGAAATCTCCTGTCGCTTCCGGGCGTTCTCCACGAGTATGCTCCAACCGCACATCAGGCATCCGGCGCCGACGCAGAGCCCAGAATCCCACATCATTGGAGTTACTGTTTCACGGTGAAATACTTTGGGACCGATCCTTGTTCTTGCAAGACAGACAGAGTAGTAGAACAAGCTCACAAATGAAGCAAGGAAGGCAGATGAGCGCAAGGCAGCAGCTATGGGCTGTTTGAGGGATGCCATGGACTTTACTGACCGCAAACGAAAGATGATCTGCAGAGGTATGTAGGTAGCACAGGCGAACTTGAATGTTCGAGTGAATCGAGACAGAGCATGCTTTTCACAGCTATGGCCACTACCCATGTGGACCATCTCACACGGTATCGGGATGGTCTTGGAAGGGTCTCCCCATTCCACGGGCCAATTATAATCTTTGCACATGGACTGAAGTAGTGATGCTTGCCCGGTGTCTTTTCCGTACACAAAGACACCGTGCCTAGCACGGCGAAGTGCTTCAATCAGGCGGCCATCCACCTTTGCTACTTCTCCTATCCATTTACCGTAAGATCTTGGTAGCCTCTCAGGCATATAAAACCATGCCCACATAACTATCGCTGCGCTCGTGGCGAACACACCCGCATCTGCGAGTTGAGGAGCAACACGCTCCACTAGACTCCACTGATTTTTTGACTTTCGCCATCGCCGCCAGTTTGCCCAACCCATGTAGACCATCAAATCGACCGCTCTGGTAAGGCTGAAAAGAGTGAGGTCCATGGTTCTACCTGCGAACTGGGGATGGCTATGCGGCTCCGGTCCGAGCTTTCTCTGGTCTGCAGCATTTTTTGAATCAGTACCACCTTGAGATTCGTCGCAAGCTCTCTGCAATCTGATAGGCCTTTGATTCAGAATACGAAAACTGAACCAAGCGGACAGTAACGCAGAAACAAATCTAGCCAGTCGCATGTGAATCAATGCATTGGAACGACCGGGTTTTAAACCCAGCTTACGAACGAGATGCGCAAGACATCGTAAGAGAATCAGAGGAAAGACGGTTGAGCCCCCTACGAGTACAGCACAGAATGCCGGGAAAGCATCCAGCCGTAGAGTACTTGTCAATGTGGTGGACAACTGCATAGCCAGAATGAGTACACCGGCCTTATCCTGATGGTAGACGGGTAGGGCAGCGAAAATTTCCATGTGTGTATACGCATCACGAACGATGCATAGGTGCAGCGGGCTTAATGCTATCAGGGTAACATTAACATACCTCCTTGAGCTGCTCTCCGAAGCTTAAGCCATGCCCCCGAATTCGCCGTAGACAGGTTATTACTCTAGGAGTAGTTGAAGATAAATAACCAAGTGCGTATGCGCGTAGAATTCTGTTACGGTCAGTATCGACGCAGCCTATTGATCCGTAGTTGATGTGCTCGACGTCACCCAGAAGTGGCCGAAAATGGGAATAACGAATACTTACGGCCGTAGAACACGGATACTGCTCTGATGCTGACGAATGATGGTGGCTGAGTCCATGGTGCATCCAACTCATTTAGTCCATGACCGTGCCATTGAAGTCTGGATCTGAGTTGTGAAACAATGAAACAACCTATTTGCTGGTGTCAGACTGTATCTTGGGAGTATACCACCGATTGACAGAATCGAGACCATGGCCACAAAAAGAGACGAATGAATTCTGCAGGAAATCAAAGGATAGTGGCAGGACATACTGCACTAAAATCCAAGCATTTCTAGCCGGCCTAAAGATCTTGACAGAATAGGAAACTAACACAAACACTTGGCTCCGCGGCGGTTACCCAGAGTGGTACGTGCTCCGTGAAGGGCAGCCCTTTTTGTATGTAGGATCGGCCGTGGATCCGTGCGACGGACTATTAGAAATTCGACCTCGGTCGTTCAAGACACGAGGGGAATGGCCGTTAACCCAGGTGTGGTTCAGGGGTTACAGACCAAGCGGAAGGCGACGATCCCCCGTTATGCCACGCTCGAAACTTGGGGTTTTATCAACCAACCGCTAGCCGTCACCTGGGGAAACCAGCTGGTGTAATGGAGCCAAGAAAGTATGAACTCCAGTAGACACAATGGTAGCGAATCGTCCAGATCGGAGGAGCCGGAGCAGTTTTACGGCTCACCTTGCTGAGGGATGATCAAGGAAAAGAATTCCTGTCAGCGGGGAAGAACAAAAAAAGCAGACAGACAGAGAGTGAGTATACATGGTGGATGAATGGAGATGTGGATAGGTGGATGGATAGATTGGATGGGCACCAGAAATGGGAATCGATCGGGCCGGATAAGGTCGAGTCTCCCCGGACTGGGAAATTGGTCCGATTCATACCTCCTGGAAACCAAAATTACACAATTTGGGTCTGTTGCGTTGCTGGCAATTGGTGGTATCAATGGTAATTATTTTACGTCACGCGACCTCCGCCGGAGCGCCAGATTTTTGCATGTGATTGCCTTGAAAAGGCCGACGGATTCCCAGCGACGAGAAGCAACTCGTGTGGTGACTGACTGTCTGAATGTTACGATCGATCTGTCTATCTACGGTTACTCTCTCCGCCGTCCATGATCCCCGGATTTTGCCGTCAACCTCCCGTCTAACTGTCAGTTTCAATGTGGGGGATGCCTTTTCCGTCAAGTGAATTTGGTCTTGTTGACGGTATTTCGTATCCTAGACCTCCAGACATTCGCCCGTACTTCCCCGGCACCATCGACCGTTGATACTCCCCTCCGCGACCACCGTCCCCTATAGCTAGCAGCTTCCAATATTCTGGTGATTGGTATCACTGGAGCTCTTTGAAACCATATTGTCATCGCATTCTTGAAAGGGTTTATTCTCTTTCCCTGCATCCGCTTTGCCGGTCAAGGCATGTTGGCACTGTCTTTCGGCGCCGCTCTCATTCAAGACTAGCACATGCTAGTCGAGTTTCTTTGCGATATCACATACTTGCCTTCTCTCGCCCCCCTCCACCATCATCGCCATGGATCCAAACAGGTCGGGGACACATAATGGCCAGAATAGTCCGCAGCCTGGCCCCTTTGGCTGTAAGTGTATTCCTTCGCTGCTGTCACGTCCTGTCTAATGTGGAGGGGCTCTAGATTCTTTTCTCTCCCCTACAGATACCCCATTCGAACCTGCTCCTGCGCCACCTCCCGGGCCGGCGCTCTTGGATCAAGATGAATCATTGATGCTGGATAACTTCTTTACTACGATGAACTCCAATCAGCTCTCCAGTGACTTTTGGCTGCAGAGTCAATCAAATAAGCCATTTGGCACCGCCAATTTCGACTTCTCAGACGAACTCCTCCCCCCGACTTTCGAAGGGTCCACGACCTCTCTTTCATCACAACCCTCACTCTCTCACCGCAGCATAGACAAACCGCTCATGGACGTAATGCCGGGGAACCTGAGTGCCAACTCAGATATATTCGCGGCTGCTTCCATGCTATACCATAATGGAATACACGGGGCCGATTTCAATACCAACTTAGGATCTCATTCATACCCATCCCCTGACATAGATTTCAACAGCCTCAGGATGTCCACTCATGGCAAATTCCAACCGCAACCCAGCCATGTGCCCTTGAAACAACCCAACAGCTCATCCCGTCCTCGGTTACCCCATGGGTACCACACCTCAGAGATGCTATTCGATGTCCGTGAACCGATATCCCCGGAGCAACAGCAGACCGCCAAGGTTCGTCCACTGCATTGGGGCTCGGATGAAAGTTTTGTGGATCAAGGATACATTGCACCGCCGGATCAGCCAGATGAAGAGCAGCGCACGAAAGAGCTGCTCGGTCACTTGGCATGCTTCGAAGCCCAAAGCAGCGCTGCGAACACTCGAGCGCCGAGCCCAGTGCGCATCACCGGAAACTATGATGCAACATGGACTGATACAGATGCGGCTGGACAACTCAGCAACTTGCGCAGAGAGTTCAAGGACAGCATGGAAGATCTTTCCCAACCTAAGAAGAAGCAAAGAGTTTTGGTCAAGGAGGAAGAAGACGAAAATTCAGACGAGGAAAGCTCGCGGCCACGATCGAAAAAGTCCAAGGCTTCGTCATCAAGGCGAATGTCACATGACGCCGTTCGGAAACCAAGGCTTTCCCAAGGTCCAAAGCCCGCACGAGAGAACCTGACCGAAGAACAAAAGAGAAGCAACCATATTCTTTCGGAGCAAAAGCGAAGAAACTTGATCAGACAAGGGTTCGATGATCTGTGCACCCTTGTTCCTGGCCTAAAAGGCGGTGGTTTTAGCAAAAGCGCAATGCTCACGCAGGCGGCTGACTGGTTGGAAGAAGTATTGCGCGGCAATGACATCCTCAAAGCACAGCTAGCGGAGTTAAAGGCCATGAATGGTTTGGTGATGCCTCGGTAGTCACCTCAATTATGCGACCATGATCATCTCTCTTATTCTATCGAAAGCATGGGCTGATCTTCACCCATTTGTACATTGGAGCAGTTCAGCGATCTTCTGGAAGGATGCGCATTGTTCAAACGGTTATGCAGGCGTTTGTTTTTACGGCCGCCCGTCCTGATTTCTACATCGACCAGGGTTTGATGTGCCGACGCACCTGGTTGCAGTCACATTAAAAATCCCGGCCTATTACATGTCACCCCATAATACCCACTTGGATTGGCGATAATGGTTTAATTTCCTAAATACCACATAGTATCTAGTTTGATGCATGCATTCTGCCGGGAGTATAAGCTCTCCCGCGAGATCTTCTCGTTCTCCATTGGTGCTTTGCCTTCGTTGCTTCTCAATCATTGATTTCAGCAAGGATCATTAGTCTTCACGATCGTATATCCAGATACTAGGATGTAGTATGAATCGCGTAAAACAGTGATACATGTACAAGATGCGATGACAGTTGCTTCGTTCCCATGTACATGGTAATTGTAGAGGATCTTCAACAAATGCCGCAACATACACCGTAGTTCTCCGTAGTAGATAGATAGAGAGATAGATACTCCGTAGATAGCAGCGATAACCCACCGTCAGGGGCAGAACTACTACAGTGGGATGTCAAAAGTTTGCGTTCCCCACTGTATACGCTAGTGATACCGCCTTCCTGATATAGTAAGATCGGGGTTATTCTGCCTACCACAATAAAATATATGAAGTCTCTGGTCATGAAACCTATATAAATCTGTCATATTGCAAATAATTAATACCCTTATATCAATATCTATGTTGGGCTTCATGACCACACGCTTTGTATGCATTGTTTTAGTTGACAGAATATTTTCGATCTAACTGTGTTTGGAAGGCGGAATCAAATTTGGTTAGCGTATAATAGGGGGCAACGCAAACTATTGACATACCACTGTAACTCGCGGGGGTGGCCCCACCGGCTCCAAGGGGCTTAGCGCAGCCCGGAATGCCCAGCATGATCATGTGATCTCCTCAGCAACGGGCCAACGGCGCGTTTATTATGATGACGCTACGTCCGGGTTCCGTCTGGGCATGTGGGTGTAACTACATCCAAAGTGATCAAAGCTATATAAACCAAATTAATCCCTCGCCTATAGGATAATTAACAGGTCAAACATGCCTCCCAAGCGGAAGCGTTCCAGCAATGGACCCGAGCAAAGGAGTGAGGCGCGCAACAAGCCTTATGCCTACTTGAAGCCCCAGGTCCGGCAGGTCTCCGAAACAACCATCAAATCCAAGTGGTCCACACTTCCGGAGCCGGTTCAAGACAGGGTGCGCGATATGTTTCGGGCCCTGGAGCGTCCAGTTATTGTAAGACAGCAGAACGAGGGCAAACGCATCGAAGCACAGGCTGCTGTTCAAGCTGTTGTGAAAAAGTATAGTTCTCGGTCTTCTGTCTCGAGGGAAATGATTATACTGACCTGTAATCTTTCAATGCTATAGTCTGGGAAAGCGGCTCCCGCGCATGCCATTTCCTCCAGTCACGAAAGACTCTGTCTTTGAGTACGAGGCAGCGCTCAAGGAGCATGTAAGTAACGCTTGATAAACCTCATTGAAGATATGACTGACACATGTTTGCAGTGTTCCTTGGAGGCTACTTTAGCCACAGTGACTGATAGTATTGATCTCTTGAAGGCTGAAGTCGAAAAGGAAGAAGCTATGCTCGAAAGAGAGAAAAAGCAACTGCAGGAGATGGAGAGAAACGCAAAGCGAGCAGAAGCGGAGAGGAAGAGGCAATCGAAGAACGTAAGTGTGGCCTCGACGCGAGTAAGTTGAGAAAATTACGATGACGCTGACCTTTTTCTAGGAGCACCCTGTTCTGCGGCAGGTTGACAGCTTGCCTGACGAGTATAACCAGAAGCAGACCGAATTTACCCTTGCGGGAGGAAAACAAACCCAAACGATGTTCGATGAGGTGCGTTTTCAGCTCCTCTTTACCCGTGCTTGATATCTGGTGTTGACATACCGTTGTAGCTCGAAAATGACCCAGAAGTCTCGAATATCTTGAAACAACTGACTGGGCATCTGAAGTCAATGCAAAACAATACCGCACCCGTTGCCGGTTTGAAAGACGCAATTGGCAGGTCGCATGCAGCATTGAGTCTAACTTTTATGCCCGAAGACTGAACCCACAGATATCTGCATCAATGACATGTCCAGAACGATTGTGCCGTTACAATTTGTACGCCGTCTGGAGCGTATACTCGAAGATGCAAGCCTCATGTCAGGCTCCAAGACATCTTGGAAGACGAGTCATGCGCAGGACGGTGTTTGACGTCCTCCGGTCGACCAAGGCATCGCGAGCCAGTTTGACGCTACCTGGAAGGTCTCCCGCATCGACTGTGGATATATCCCCCACGGGACACCAGTAATATATGGGGCTAAACGAATTCCCGCGCCTCGGAGAATTGGTCCTCTTATTCAGGACAAGCTGAGCCTCATTGCGTTCTACCTCGTTCTCTGACAAGACTCAGGCTCTGGGAATCCTCTAGGTCCAAAGAAGTTTAGCCAGATATTGACAGCGGACCCCCACTATTTGACTACGGGCAAAGAAGTCTAGTGGGCTTTATAAGAAGCTTGTGGCTGGTAATGCCAATGAGGCATCATTCACGGGTCTTTAGCCATCCAGAAACTACTTAATACAACGTCTGATTTTGGAAAGAAATTAAATAACTCTACTGCCTACTCTGGACAACCGCTCAGTGTAGGAGCATGTGGCTGCATATGCTAGATGCAAGTTTACCGAGGTAGAAACCTTGTAACTATATTCAATGACAGATAGTCTTCCTATATGTTAACATCAGAAATACGAGGATTCTGTTTAACCTCTATTTACTTTTTCGCATGAACAACTGATATTGGCTGCTTTGCTTCCGCCGTGAGAGATAGTGTCACACATGGGTTAGCCGCTCATATGCTTTTCCGAGGCTACGAACCGGGTTCGCCGCTGCCGGCCCCAATGCGGAGGGGCCCGGGAAATGAAAGATCCAAGTCCCGCACCAGCGGGGAACTTCGATGAGCCGATCGCATCGCGCGTGCCCTCACATTTTCACGTTACAGATCAGCCCGATACCTTCGCCCTCTGCTTGTTCGGTCCGTTCACACCCAGTCGAATGTCTGCAGACGGTCATTTTGCTTCCCGTTTGTGTTCCAATCGACAGCAACAGTGTTAACGGCGAAACGAACCCTGCGCAACACCTTGCGCCTAGCGATCAATGACGGAGAAAAGTGCGGCGTCAACGGGTCCAGGCCCCGATCAACAAACCAGCAATGGGACAGCGGAGAGGAAACCGGATGTGACAGAGGAGGAACAGACTGGGGCAGATGCTGGTGCGAAAGACAACTCGCAGAATACACCGTCTCTCAAGACTGAGGGTGCTGCTGCCGGGGCTCACCCAAGTCCCAAAAAACGTCGCAAAGTCAATCATGGTATGGCGCTATTTGCTATGCATCCTACAAGGATCAAGGCAGCGACTCAGCTTTTCCCCCTGTTGTTTCGACCACGTTGCTAATTAGAGTGCCACGTTTGCAGCATGCGTTTACTGTCGGCGATCGGTAAAGTCTTTCCCCTCAAACAAGATCACCTTCCTCGCCCCTCACTTCAATCAACCCGAACAAACATCGCCTTTGATACTTGTTGAGCTCTACGCCTAGAGGAGTTATTTGCTAACTGAAAGGCACTCGCTCGCGTGGCACAGCATATGACTTGCGACTCGGTACGACCCGTCTGAGCTCTACCCCCCAGCGCATTTCTGTGAAACGTGGAGTGCAATTACCCTTCGAAGATCTAGTTGCTGACGGTTGTTGCTTTGCGGGAAATGTAGGAGCGACCCTGCACGCGATGCATAAAACGGAATATTGGCCACCTTTGCCACGATGAACCTCGGGAACCTTCAAAACGGTCGCGGAGTGAAAACGATCATTCGGCTGCCGATGACGAGGGCTCTTCGAATAATGAGTACTCTGGTGTCCAGATGCCCAGAAACGTCGACGGCCCAGAAGCTGCAGGTCAGCAAATGCTACCCGACGGGTCCATCGGCCTACCCACCGCTTCTGTAACTTCTGTGCAGCAGCCTGGCAACATGGCTTCTTCTGGCCAGGGTCTTAATGCTCAACAGCAAAGTGAGTCCTACCTATAAAGTTGTCTAGTGTATCATATTGACTTTAGTAAGTGATTGGGTACAACGAATGGCTTGGTGGACAAAGCCAATTCCAGGACATGCACACGTTTCACCCTTCCTACATGTTCAATGCACCAGAGGTCACTAATGAGTACAACCTCCTTGGTGACTTTCTGAGCAATAGCCTTTTGGATGATGGAGGAGTGTTTCAAAATGATGAGCTGCAGGGTATTTACTCGGACCCGTCATTACTCAATTCTATGGCGACTCTGGGAAACTCAAGTCAAAGCCTTCTTCAGCAGTCCCAACCTGCGCAACCCCAACCTAATCAACAGGCTCAGGGCGAACCTTTACAAGGGCCTACACCTGCAGTGAGCAATGACAAGGCGAGAGAGACCTATTACATGACCGCAGCAGATCCATCAGGGTCCGACCCGCCAGAGGAGCGGATGAACAAGCTTCTTAAAGCGAAATACGACGCGGGACTCCTTCGCCCATTCAACTATGTGAAGGGTTATGCCAGGCTGAATCAATATATGGAGCGACACTTGCAACAAGTCTCGCGGCAGAAGATCCTCCGACAATTAGATAAATTTCGGCCGAAGTTTCGTGAACGAATGCAGAGCCTGACCGACATTGAACTCATCCTCGTGGAGATGTGGTTTGAACGAAGCCTGATGGAATATGATCGAGTTTTTGCCAGTATGGCTATTCCTGCTTGCTGCTGGAGACGAACGGGTGAAATATTCCGTGGCAATAAAGAAATGGCAGAGTTGATCGGCGTACCGATTGAGACTCTCCGAGACGTAAGTGGTTTCTGCAGAACTAAATCTCTGTCGTCGATATCTAATGACTGTCATATTCAGGGAAAGCTTGCAATCCACGAGATCATCGTGGAAGACCAGCTAGTGAGCTACTGGGAGAAGTTTGGAGCTATTGCCTTTGACAACACGCAAAAAGCCATGCTCACAAGCTGCACCCTGAAAAACCCCAATTCCAACTCCCCTGGAGATGGAATTCCCTGTTGCTTCTCATTTACAATCCGAAGAGATACCCATAACATGTGAGTGACATCGTCAGACGGTGCGATGGCTCGGTGCTAACTGCTGTTGTTCTAGCCCATCACTCATTATTGGGAATTTTCTGCCGTCACAGCGAAAGGCCAAATAAGCCTTGGAGTTATTTCCCTCGTATTTCTTTATTGTTGCCTAGCAAATGCTCGCGTGGGTTGACGCCTAGTTACTGTCTTCTTGGTGCTTACTAGTCTTCCTATTGGAGGAGCTTCGCGATATTGTTCCCTTCATACCCTTCTGTCATTGATTTAAACGGCCATCAAAAATGTACCATAATCTTCAAGGCGTGACTTGTTTCCAGAGGAAGGTAGATTGTGGCCTTGTAACGTGAACCCGAAATGGACTAGATTGGTCAGGTGCCATTCCGTAATTCGCTTGGGATGTCGGCCAAGTATCTGCAGGACTACAGTCCTGTTCTTTAAGCCATTAGAACAAGGATCAAAGTAACGACACATCGCAGTCTAAAAGCAGAAATGGACGTCATTTTAGGTGAAGCACCTCTTCTGCCTGTCGTTTCATGCCTCTTATTGCCTCATCCACTAAGAATGAAGCAACAGACTTCGCAGCTGACCTAACCGGTCGACTCGCTATCGATCAAAAGAAGCGACATCTAGGTTTAGACGTCAAATCTGTGGCTCAACTGGATCAGCAACTGAATGATTTCACTTTACCGATAGCGAGTCCTTCGTCCTCGACTAGGCGCCAGTTTGACCAAGAAGGAACAAAGCTATGGAATACTTGCATACAGCTCATGACTGTCTATAGAGACAGAAAAGAAGAAGTTGCCCTTGTGTGCAAAGGTACTATCATGCCTCTCAGTGACGTATAGTCTTTTACTGATTATGGCATAGTGAAGGCATTCGCTTACGCGATGTTGGATTATGCCGCACCATATCGAGGCAGGGGTAAGTATAACCCACTAACTATTGTATGCGTAAAGGACAGTTAACATCGCCCAGGAAGCAACAGGACTTTAGAGACAGCATTTAGCATAGCATCGACATGCATAGGTAGAATCTACTTCCCATTGCTTTCTTCAATGTCTCCCTGAACACCAATTCTAATATATTTTGATATAGAGAATGGTTGTCTCGACCTAAGCCAGAGGATCATTGAAACTGCAGCTGTGCGGTTAGATAGACTTGAGAAGTACGAAAGTGACATTGAGGGCTCAAAGCTTCAACAGTATACCATAGAGTACTACATGCTTCGTGTCTACTTGGTATGGTCTACCCGTCCACAAATTACATCAGGCTGACTGTTAGATCTATGCAGGCATGGCTGCAGGGGAGACTCGACATAGCAGAGCACTTGTTCTCAAAGATACCCGTATCAGACAATGGCAGGGGTCAAGATTGTGTCATGGACATATGCTATAAGATCGGTAGCTGTGCGCTTTCACACAAGCAGTATGATGACTCTGTGAAGTGGTTAGAAAGGGCTTTGAGAGCATGTGAGCTCATAAGGCATATGGACCAATCACCGGTCCTGTCAATAAAGGATAAAGAGCTACTGATACTCCATGCTTCTGGTAGGTTTCTCTTGGTTGATGATGATGGCAAATACCTCATGCAGGACAGTTCGTGCCGGTCTTCGTCTTGATACCAAAGAGTCCAATGGCTTTCTTGCTAAAGCCATGGATGCACTGAAAACTGTAAGCCATGAAGTCCAATAACTATATATTGGCTAATGTCGAACAGCATTACGGTGGGATGTTCCCAGTTCAGGTCATCCAACTTGAGCTACTGAGCAAGGAAGAAGTAGATGAGAATGTCTTTTCGCAAGGTCACTGAATTATATCCTGTGGGAGCCTCCCTTCTTGACTAACATAATGATTGACAGTGCTACAAAGTACCATTGAATCCCCTGAACTCAAGGATTCATACCTCACAATGTAAGTGGGCCAGTATGACCCGTGTACGCTGTCCGGTACTAAAAATTGTGAGCAGCATCATGTATTATATACAGATGTTGCCTGGTACATCGTGAGTGTATCGATCAAATATGTATACTCATCTAACAATACATCAGCCCAGAGGTCTCTATTATGATGCTCAAGCAACTGCTCGAACAGGTCATTCTTCTACCAAATAACGGAACTTCACTCGAGAAAGTGTTTATAACATTCGTACATGGATTGATGCACTCGAAGAAATGTGCAAACACTAGCCTCGGAATCTTCCAGGAGACAATTGCCAGCTTGAGGAGGCATTATAAACAGCCGTTGAGTGAAGCGGCAACGGAAGCAACACTCATCGTACGTTAGCCCTTATCATAGCTCCAGCTACTTATAGTAGGGTTCATTGGAATATAGCTCATCTGGAAGCATGTCAATAATGCGATCTCGATTGACGAAAAATTACTAGCAGGCAAATGGTGTCTTTGTTTGTTAGATGAGCCAATGTTTAAGATGTCTTCTGCAAACAAGGCTAAGCTTTTTAGGTAGCTAGTCCACACCTGATAGATATATCCCAGAACAAGATCTAACACCAAGCAGACAGTTTCTCATGTGTACTTCACATGACCCGAATGCCTCACAAGCGATAGATATATTCAATCGAATGCCCGAAGAATGCAGATTATGTCCGTCAACCTTGTACCTTATGTACACACGAAGCCTGCGGAGCAGCGAGCCTATCGCATGTAAGTAAACCTCGGGCGCCTTAATATACATCTAACACAGAAAAGCAAAGATATATCTCGAGTCGCTCCTTGGGGACGCAAAAGCCATTCCTTACCTCTTGTCATGTGTAGTAGAAGCCTTCAAGCTTGGGAAGACTCAGCAGGGTCTGGAGGGTCTTGAGCAACTTCTTAAGTCCGCTAAGTGTCCTGGCGCAGAAGGATACCATGTCGGAAAACTGTTACAGTATGGCTAACATTCTATTATGAGATGCTCGTGCTGACCTCAAAATATGCCTGCTCTTCAACTTCTTTCTACCGAACTCGAGAACTCCAAATGGGAAAATGAAGCATTACTGAACAAGATTCAGACATTGATGAATCAAGGTAAATCTCACGCGAAAGCTTGGCAGCTATTGACTGACTAGCCAGGATTGGTCCTGGCAAGTCGCAGAGCACCGGACAACCGCGTATTTTCCGTTGAAGAGCTTGCATGGTTTGCCAAGGCGAGTTACAGCATTGCTTCCAGCGCATTCAGATCGACCAAAATGGAGCCCGTCATGCATTTACTAGACATCTCTATCAAAGCAAGTATAAGCATTCTGAAGCGAAACGGTTCCTCTAACATAGCATAGTTCGCCGATACGTGTCAACAAACGGATAGAACAGAGCACATTGTTCCATCAGAACATTATCTTCTCTGCGACTCTCTCAAAATAGCCAGAATAGCGATAGAAGCCCGCAAAGATATTAGCGTCGATGAGAAGGTTCGCTTTCAGCCAGCGCTCTTCTATATAGGATCTAATGTAGCATCCAGCATAAGCACTACAGCGCTATTCACAGAATTGGTACACACTTTCGAGAGCTGTTCAAGGGCCAGACGGTCGAACACAACACTAATGCTCAGTACGAAAAATGGCTTTCCCAGCACCGTATCATCCTTGCCCTGGATCTTGAGGCATCTATCTTCTTGAAAAACTGGACCGGTGTCTGCACAATCATCGAGGAAGCTAGCCCATTCTTAGACGAGAGACTCAGCTCAGTATTTCTAGACGGTATTCTGCGCTCTGAAGGTCACCTAAAAGCCAAAGTACAAGCCGTCAAGGTATGCATACACTTATTAGCCCTTAATTCCAGCCATGTCTTCACACCCCCTTTGCTACCTTTTACCCAATAATGCATGCGCGCGAGCTGACCATCCAACGCAATACATGACAGACCCTGCTCCGCACCCTGCACGCCTCCCCTTCCCCCTATTTGAACAAGTCAACCTTCATGAATCAAACCCTTCCCCGCTACATTCGCTGTCTGTTCCAACTCTCCCTCGACGCAGCAGAGTACCAGCTCGCAGAGTCAATTTTTGATCAGTCTCTCATATTAGTTCAAGAAAGACATGCAGAAGCCGGGAACAATGCCAGTATGTCACTACCGGGGTATCCCGAGGACGAGATACGATGGCTATCAACCGTAGCATTCAATCGAGCGGTGGATTACTACCTCGCTGCAGCGGATGCAGATTGCCGACGATGGGCGGGAAAGGCAATCAACCTTGCTGATATAGCAAGAGATGATGGTGCACTGGGAAGGTTATTAAGGGGGAAATTGGAGATGCTGGCTTGATGTGAAGCTTTCCATAGTATTCAATGACATCGTGGGAATACCGTGGGAGGAAAGGGAAAGGGAGAATATGATGGAGTTCAGTACGGCTCTGAGAGATGAAGATATATATTTTTACCAAGATGAAACAGCAATGTCATGAGTATCAGTTTAACATGCATGTGCTTTCGAGACTTTGATGTATATAAACACACGCGTTCCATTCTAGTGCCAACTCATCCCAAGACTTCAATTATCCTCTACACGATATCTTCCGCAACTGTAAAACTGTCAAGTACCTTCTTAGGGCTGTATTTTTCGTTTTCTATTTTTCAGGATTCAAAGTTGGCGCTAATGCACCTGGATGACGCTTTTTTGACCAATCAGCGGCTATAGTAGTTCTGCCTGAGTATATCCAGATCCACTTCAGTTTACTAAGTATGGATAGTTAGTGTAAAACCACTACCTCGTCCTAATCTTTAACTCTGATATTCCCAATTGAGCTACTGTATAGATTGCTATTTACATACTACAAGGGTAGAAAAAATCCTATCTCAACCGGTCTATGCTGTTTACTGTAACCAGGCATAACATCAAAATTCAGATTCTCACTTACTATTCTACTATAATCACCAAGGACAGGAAAACCAACACCCACCTAAAATCCAAACCTCTCCCCCACAAGCTCCTCACTCACACTCCAAAGCCTCTCCGCAATCCCCCTATCAGTCGCAAACGCAACAACACCCCCATCATCAACCTTACAATCAGCCAAATAAACCCCCTTAACCTGTCCATCCCCACTATCTACACCCACCACCTTCAAACGCGGATCCACCGCCGCCAGAACCGTCGTATTAGCCCCCACCTCCCTTGACTTCTGCGTAGGATCCATCCCCAAATCCTTCACCCTCTGCAGGGCAGCCTCAACATCGCTAGGTATCGCATGTCGACCAATTCCCGTGTCGACGGCGCCGGGGTGTACGGCGAACGCTGCGATGTTGTACTTGGCTAGTAGTTTCTGGTTGAGGGATATCGCGTGCAGGATGTTGGCGGTCTTGGACTGAGCGGTAGGAGAAGAAGCCGTAGTATGCCTCGTCTGCGTGAGAGTTGCCGGTGAGGTACTCTGTTATCCGGAGGTCGGGACGCTCGGACTCGGGTAGTTCGTTGGGGAGTATAGAGAAGGAGAGGTCGGTGAAGCGGACGGGGGAGAATTTGTGGCCGAAGGAGCTGAGGTTAATGATTCTTGTTGGAGGGGCAAGACCAGAGTCGGAGGCTTTGGTGGTGGTGGTGGTAGAAGCGGCCTTGATCAGCTTAGGTAGGATAAGGTTGGTAAAGAGGAAGTGGCCGATGCGGTTCGTTGCAAAGGTCGTCTCGAGTCCGTCCTCGGTGAGGGTTCGGGTGGGAATGGACATGACGCCTGCATTGTTGATCAGGATGTCGATTGTCGGGATGGAGGTGTTGGCCAGGAGTTGGGATGCTGCGGCGCGGACGGATTTCTGGGAGGATAAGTCCATGATTAGGGCGTGGTAGGTGGTGGCTGGGTAGGTTGATTCGAGGTGGGTGATGGCCGCTTGGACTTTCTCGGTGGATCGTCCTGAGATGATCAGGTTTGTTGGCAATTGGGAGGTGAAGGCTTCGGCGGTTGCGAGTCCCAAGCTGCCTGGGGAGACGCCGGTGATGAGGATGGTCTTGCCCTGCACGGCTTCTGGGAAGGAAGCCGTGATCAAGTAAGGACAACAATTAGCACCAAGCATCAGATTATCATTTACGGGCTTTCATACCATCTGGTCCCTTCATCGACCCAGTCCCCGGGCTCAAAAACAACAGATTCAATCGATCCTCTTTCTTCTTGATATCCATGCAAACCTCATCGACCTCCCGAAGAAGAGACATCGGCTTTGATAAACTCAACCTGCGAGTCTGGTTTGATTTGCCGCAATTCCTCGATGATCCGGCTTGCTCTTGCCTGGTCGCGCTCAATCAAATAGGCACGGGAGGCGGTTGTATTGCGGATGAATGCGCGTGCTGTCGATTCGCCTATCCCGCTTGTTCCGCCGACTACATGAAAAGTCAGTTTTGACTTTGTATATGTCCAAGAACGAAACTCGAGACTCACCAAATACCGCAACCAGATCGGACCCATACAGACGAGGGATAGCGCCGTTATTATCCCGTACTGCTGTAATAGACACCATGATTTGATTTATTTTTCTTGTCTTTTCAGTTCAAGTTTGAAGTAAAAAGCCATTAGAACAAGCGGTATTTTTGGGGGGGGGGGGGGGGTTAATACCTATCCATTATACTCCGTAGACGGAAAATAACCTCAAAAAGGAGTGGGCCTTGCGAAAAAGCGAGGTAGAAGAGGATGTATATCACGTAAATCTGATTGGTTGAAAAAGCGTCAGCCAGATGCCTTGGCGCAGAAGATGGGGCCGTCGGTGGCACAGCCTGGACTGTTGTAAGGATGGAGTTCTAGATTAATTATTTCTATTTCCATCAGAGTTCGGAGATAAGAATCGTAAAGATTTCAAATTACTGTGACACTAGTAAATATTCTTCAGCTTATCTCGAGATCCTATAAACTATTTCATTCTTATCAAATACTCTAGTATTTCGTTAGGGCCCTAAGAGGAAGAAATAGTATTGTAAGTATATAAATGCAGAACCTAGTTGAACGAAGGGAAAAGTAAGTACAACTCTACAGTACTACAGTAACAAGATATCCGAACTAAGGGCTAGCCTTACATAAGTTCAAATCATAATTATAACAGGACCTGTGATTCTCACGGGCTCTATACTATAGTGAAGACATAACAAGACTCCGGAGAATGCTCTAGTAGTAGCTACCATCTCCATACTGCTCGGAAGATGCAACTAGATAGTACTATGGTCATTATCGGTAATCCTGCTCACTGTACGGTAGACAACAGTAGTAGAAGATGATAGATTGGGAACTATTTCTCTATTCGGATCTTCTATCTATAATAGTGCTATTGTTTAGAATGAGGCGACTGGGAGTTTTGCGAGGGCTGGCGGTGAATGTCAGCAAATTATCTCAAGGGCACTGCAGAGCCATATCAATATTGTCATTGGATAAAAGTTCAACACGGCATTTAAATAAGGGTCAGAAGAGTACAGTCTTCTGTCGCAAAGAGCGACAATGTTTGGGTATCATTTAGAAGGTAGGTAGATCCGAACAATGAATAAGGATTCGGGATAGGTAAAAAAGAAAGGCACATGAAAATCTTGAAAATGAACAGATACAGTGAAGAGCAGGAATCTTTGAGAGGGCAATGGTGCAATGGCGGTTCAAGAGAACACCTCGCGTGGTGAGACAATGAACGTTCAGTGAGGACAGACTGGGTCAGCTTGCAAGCGAAGGCTCGGATTAAGAATTGGAAATCATGCGCCCCAAACTCCTTGAACTTCCCGCGCCCCGAATATCATGCAAGAGGATGGAAGCAGAATATCCAACACCCGCAATGCGCAAATGAGATGAAATCATACCCAAGCAGACCCCTCGCATGATAACAAATGATGTCTATAAGGATTGCACTGGATTCCCTAGATCTTACGAAGAAGGCAGGGCATATAAAAAAGAAAGTAAGTCGAAGAAAGAAAAGAACGAAGGTCGAGAAGATATGAATGAGTGAACGAAGGCAGGCGTCAGTGGATCCGCCATTTTTAGCTCACCCTATCCGGATGAAGCGTCAGGCCTGATGAAGCCTTCGGCGTCTCTTTCGAGCGTACAACCGATGACAGTATCTGGCAGGGTGTATATATGGATCTCTTGAACGCATCATGCAAGGGCTTTTTCATTCTCCTTTCCGCTGCTTTCAGTCTCAGTCTCCGCGCTCTCGCTGCTGTTACTTCGAAGGTTGAGAGCCCGTAGAGTTAGGTTCAGCTCTCTCTCGAGCTCCTTCTGGGCATGAATATTTCCCACTGATCCATTGAGCTTCTTCCTGTAAGCTTTCAATGTACGACACACTTGTTCTGTGGACGTGTTGAGGCTCCCAAAATCGCTTTTCCCGGAAAGTCTGGCTCGAGCACGAATGTCAAGAGAGGAACGGCGGGATTCGCCTCGACTACTGCCAGCCTTCCTTGCGCTTGCGGTCTTTGAAGTATGCAAAGAGGGGGATGTAGGGTGTGACTTGTCTCGGCAAGCGCTAGAGGTGGGGGAGCGACGATTCGATGTCGCCGAGGGCGTAGTGGGCGGTGGTGTATTCCCGTGCTTTGCGGGAGACAGCGAGAACTTGGAAAGTTTCCGTAAGAAAGTCGGAGAATGGCCGCGAGCAGGAGTGGGGGTGACAGCAATATTTTCCTGTCGTTGGAGCCCGGCAAGCTCAGTTTTAGACAAAACCTTGCGTAGAGGGGGTTTAGCAAGTGTCAATTCCTTCACAGGAGCATCATCGTCTTTATGTAGGACTGGCAAGGGCTCTGATGATGATTGGGGAAGCACGGATACTCCCCAGATCATAACAAGCCCATCAAGGCCGGAGCTGATGAGTATCCGGTCGTCTGACTGGGTGGAGTCATTGGACTGATTTGCAAGTAGGCAAGCATCACTCATGCCTTCCGTGTGCCCAAATTCAGCTGAGAGAAGCACGCCACGTTCCAAGTCGTATACACGTATCGACTTGTCTGTGGTTGAGACACCGAAGAGTAGCTTTGAGAAACTCTGCTTTGAGATATCAGAAGTCACGGTCAAAGAGTTCATGACAACTGTATCATTTCCATCTGAATCTATAGCTCGGAAGGACGTGATCTGACGACCGGTAGTGAGGTCATATTGTTGAATACATCGATCAGCAGTAGATACGACAAGGACATCCGTGTCTGTAGAAAGAGTCATGGACACTGGGGATGCCTTCATCGTGATCACCCTGGTGATCAAGTAAGCAACAATCGGCGTGCCATTGACCTCACGGCTAACACGGTCTCTAATGAGAATGGTACGATCGGCAGATGACGAAAGGAGCTTCTCTCCGTTGTCAAGGAAGAGGAGCTGGTTTACGGCCCCAACGTGGTCATCCATAGTTTGGATTAACTCAAATTTGTTATTGCTTCTCTCGAATAGCTGGACCATGCGGTCACGTCCACAGCTGGCGATCAAGCACGTATCCGGTGTTGTATGCAGAGCAATGTCAGTGATTTCTCCTCCATGGGCTCGGACCTCGTGTAAGGGCTCCCATGAGGAGCCTAGCAGCATCCTGTGTTGCTCTAGTCAGCAAAAACGATGATCTTGATCGCTAACAGACAACGGCAACGTACCTTAGGACACCGAATTTATCACCCGAGACAAACAGGTCAATCTCATCCGTAGCTCGTACTACTTTCAACTCATTGGAAATGTCCTCATCACAGCCAGGGGGGTGTTCAAGAACGATTGCACGCGAATCCTTGCACTTCCCTCGGGAGTCCCAAAACTTCACGCTGCCCTTGCGAGACCATGTGAAGAAAGTAGCTTCATACTGGTTCGGAGTTTTGAGTCCACGTATCCCAAGCACCGCATCTCTGTGAGCGGAGACCATGGTCTGAGGGGTTCTCTGGTCGACTTCGTCGCCCAATTCGTCGCCCGGATGTATTTCGATAGCATTAGTCGCGTCCACCGCTACCACACGAGACCCCAGAGAACCGATGCAGATTATTGCAGGGCCCTTGAGCGCCTGCTCTGCTGATGATCTGCCAGAAAGTGTGGGAGACAGGGGAGCGGCCGATGAGCGTATCTTCTCGAAACTGAAAGATTGAATTTGTCCGCCCCTTCCGCCAACCCAAACACAAGAGCGGTGCCAGTCGACCGCCAAGGAAGTTATGCCAAAATCCAGGTATTGAACGACGGATAATTTCTGGGATCCCTCACTATCATCCACCAAGCATAAAGCCCCCGTATCGGTGCCTACGACTGACTCTCGATCGGAAAAGCTTGCTACGCTAGAGAAGGTGCTTTCGGCCAGCGAACCCAGTAAACAATTTCGTCCCGAAAATGCTTTGGGAATCTGACTCGGGGAGCTGCTTGGGACCTCCACAGTAAGGCGAGACCGAGGGGAGCCAGGCCTTGCATCTGGAAGTCTCCAAACTTTCACATGTCGGACTCCCACACTAAAACACGGGTTAGTTGATATCCCACTCAACATATAGCATACACCGCTAGGACGTACGTGATTAATGTCTGACCCATCCAACACATGTCACGGACATGGGAAGTGCACTTGTTGGTTGAGTGAAGTTTTGCCGAACCAGACTTCGGGTTGATGGTCCATACGAAAAGAAATCCATCATTCACATCACCGAGCGTCGCTAGATACTGTGAATCTGGACTGAAGGCCAGGCCACGCACACCAAATGTATGCTCCGTAAGGATCGAAAGTGGAATTTCCGAAGATGTGTCTTTCGCTGTTGAGAAGATCATGATTCGGGGGCTATAACCAGTCTAGCAGAAGTCAGTGCATTGTTGACGGCGGCACAAGGGTTACCTGGCTTACTTCTCCTACTGCGAGGAACTCCCCATTAGGGCTGATTGCGGTACACGTAACCGCCTTAACTCTCTCGCGGGAAGACCAACCACGAGGACTACCGGGATCAGCCGTATCATGGCATGGAGAGCCATTGTAAGCATTGCTGTGGGCGGTCGACCTCAGGCTTGAAGAGAATTTTGCTCGACTGTCAGGCGTTGTAGGTGGCGTGGATTGGTGGTAGAACGATGTAACTGGATTCACACTGGCTGCCGAGGGCCGTGCCCTAAAAAAGCGTTGATTTACACAGTCCTTGTCATCCAATTCGACCAGTACCGCCACTGAGCCTGCACAGAGGGCGAAAGACCTGCTTTGCTCATGATTCGAGAATCCATGGGGGGTGGTTGTGGTTGTTCCGAGTACTGTCCGCAGGGACAAGGCTGTCTGATGAGACGGTGCTTTGTGTATGGAAGAGCGCGTTGGTGGTCTCAGGATTGGAGAATTCGAAGGAGTGATGCGAAGCGATGAAGCGGGCCTGCTCTTTGCGCTCAACGAGTTGGTCGTCATTGCGTCGGCTTCATTCACGAGGGATTACGATCTTTCAGTCGACAGGATTTCGAACGCATTGGTGGGCTGGGGGCTTGTATGTCTTTTTTATGCCTGCTTCCGACAGAAAATACTGTATGGCTCTCAACGGCCCTGGTTTCGGGGAAAGAGCTGCAGGTCAAGCGAGGAAGGAGAAAGTGTGGAATATCGAGGAGCCTTGCTTATGAGCGACGGAACTTTTCGGTCGGGAGGGACGAGGAATTCGGTGTCGACAGCAAAGTCCTTTTTCGTTCTCCGTATATGATTTTTCTTTTTCTTCTTGTGCGTGGATGGCGGCGAAGAGGCTGGTGTGAAGACAGAATGAAAAGGCGGCGGAGATCGGGGAGAAGGACGAAAGGACCGGCGAAGGAGGGGGGGCAGGAATCAAAATAAAAACAATGGCTCTAAATGAATGACTAGGTCAGATGGTCAAGAGAAAGGAGCGAGGGAGAGAAGAGAATGTAGGGAAGGGATGATTGAGGCCTTGACGAAGCAAAAGGCAGAATGTGGGCGAGGTGAGCTAGATAAACACACAGCTCCCAGCTTGACCACCATCAGCACCACCACAACCATAACATTCCACGGGCGGAGAGCCGAAAAATGATGGACGAACCCTTGGCGCTGGGCTGCTTCTAGTCGTGTTTAGCTTCGGGAAAGCTAAATTCGGGGGCACTTGAAAGATCCCGTCGAGCTGATCCAAGATCCTAGACGATCATCCCTGATCCGGTGGGGAGAAGAAGCGAGAGATGCTGCCAGTCACGGCTGTGGGATAAGAAGGTGAGATGGTGGTTACTCCCACCACCACACCAACGTCTTCCCACTTTGTGTATGTGTCTCCTCCCATTATGTCTTGCCCAGTGATCGGGCCAACCTCCCGGCGAGATTGGGAATGAAAGTTGAGAGGCTTGATCGACCTCCTCACAGGGCATCAAGTGGCCCCGGCTCGGTGGGGATCTGCTAATCCTTCTGGGTTCTTTTGACTTGTCGCGAGTAATCATCGTCCATGACACAGCCAATTCATCCTTCTTCCCACTGCCATGCGTGGACTGTTATCAGTCGGTAGTGGAAAGAAGGAGAAAATATTATCTGAAACATATTCAATAAATAGCCGATTTGTACCGCAACTGTCAAGGAGAGGATAATATTCAGGTTACAATCCGGTCCGTAACCTTTGGCACTAACGAAAGTTGTACTTGTTACATGCTGTATGGCACGCCGACTAGTGCGGCACAAGGGGACAAAGAGCTGGAGATTAAGGCAGACAACCGGCTTGGGTAGCCTTGGCTTTTAGGCCAATCGTGATTAAGCGGGATATTACGGTGTATGCCTTCAATTTGCACCAATTAGCCCCTTACCCGGGTAAAGAATGGAATCGAATTATTAGAGACATCTAGACATTTAGATCTTGAATATTTGTCCAGTCTCTCAACAGCCATCCTCGTGCGTACAATTAATATTAATAGATGAGTGGAGCGTTATATCGTATCGGGCCAACTTCGATATGGCTTCCAAATGGGTAGAGCGACTAATCTCCGCTCTGCAACTGTTCATGCTCTTCAGTGAGATAATTATTACTTATTAGGGCAACTGACTGGTCTTTCCAGGCTTGCTTCTCTCCACCGCTCCTTCTACTTTGACAGGTCTGCTTCCTCTCTGGGGCTTGAATACTGGGTCACATGATCTTTATGCCTCAGGCTCTAATTGTTCTAGGCCTCTTCCAGAAGTCTCTCTGCAGTTGCAAGTCAAGTCTCTTAGTGTCCGGGAGAATTTCCCCAGCTTCCATCTCTCTCTTTCTTTCAAGGAACTTTGTTCTGTTAAGCCTTTACTATGGCAGGTGTCTGCGCTTCATCCCTCAGACTCTCCCTCCCAAACGTCTTGCGAAATGCTCTCCGTTCAGAAATCGCCTCGGACCTCCATCAGGGTCCCGCATCTCGGAGAATCCTCTGCATAGCGCCTCTTTCTCATAGCAGATGCAAAACGCAACGACGGAACTTCAGCGCCTCTATCAAACCTCAGCTTTGCCAATCCGCGCCATATCTATCAGCACATGACTCCTCCTCTGCCGCCTCAGCTCCTAATACCGCGCCGCTGGAAAATTCAGAAAATAAACCATCTGCCTCGACCGAAGCAAATGCATCGCCAGAAGTGGATGGATCCAAAACCAGCCATGTGGACTCCATAACTGAGACACCTACCTCCGATAGATTCACCGATAAGAAGCCTACCAAATCGTCTCGATCGAAGAAACGTTCACGCCTTGAAGAACCTCCTTCCAATCCCATGGCCCAGAAGAAACCGGAGAAATGGCAGATTCATAAACAAGCCCTGAAAGAGAAATTTAAAGAGGGATGGAACCCTCCAAAGAAGCTTTCTCCCGATGCGCTGGAGGGTATTCGGCACCTTCACGCGGTCGCACCGGAAAAGTTTACTACACCGGTTCTTGCAGAAGAATTCAAGGTCTCACCGGAGGCTATTCGGCGGATATTGAAGAGCAAATGGAGGCCTTCTGAGACCGAAATCGAAGACCGGCGGAAGAGATGGGAGAAGCGACATGATCGAATTTGGGGCCATTTATCGGAACTCGGCCTACGACCAAGTACGAAGCGCACCCGAGATCTGACAGACGCAAAGCAACTGCTCTATGGCAATAACCAGAAGAAAGGGGGAAAGGCTTAAGTAATGATGGACGGGCCTGTACTGGCAGTCACCATGTATATTATCACGTGTACTATACGAGCTACCTATCTTGTTTATATCAAATAGCATAGAAGAGGCGTTGTGGATTGAATTTGTGGAGAAATTGCTTCTTTTCTTTGTTCTCCGAAAGCTTTCTCAAGTCCTCCGATCCGAGGTTGTATGGCCAGGAGTGCCGTCATTTGTAACATACAGTTTCACAAAAGTGAAAGTGATTTGCGGGGATAAAGAGATCCCCCAGCCGGAACTAGACAATGGGTATAGATCAACTTTGCTTTTCTCCGGACTGGAAGAAGATCCTAACCGGGAGTCCGACAGCATATCTATCATATGTCGAGGGGCACAGCTTCTCTACGTGGTTCGTCATGGGATTGCAATTCCCTCCCGTCGGCCGTAGTGCACCACCAACCACCACCAGCGCGTCCTCACCCCGACAAGAACGTTATGGCACCCGCTCTGTGTCCTTCCTCCCTCCACATCCTCCAACGATTATGGCTTACACGATTTAATGGTATGCCCTAGCTGGCGTTGATTACCCTTTCTCTCAGTGTATCATATTTGCCAATCTTTACTTCAAGCCCTCGTTCTGGTGGCGGCTGGTACCCGCCATCTACCCCGGACCTTCGTGATTCTTGTCTGCGGTCACCCGCCCACATGGTGGCCTTGCGATCGTCGCCATGCCCTCAGACATCCAGGTTTTCGTGAAATGGAAGGATCAAACGATATTCGCCGGGGAAGATGTGGAATGTATCATTACCTTCAAGAACGTTGCGGAGACGAACGGAGAACCCCGGAACGGGGGGCAGTCCTCGCATCAGAGACATCCATCGCGAGCTACCAGCTCACATTCGGAGTCACTGTTTTCGCTCAGGTCACCTCAGAAATTCTTCTTCAGTCCACACCGCCGCTCATACTCTAGCGTATCCAAGAAGAGCCCGTCGCATCGCCCGTCCTCATCAGTGAGCTCACCGTTGATCGGTTCTCACAGCTTTCCGCCCCCGTCCACCCCTCGCAGCGGTCCACCTGCTGGTGGAAAGCACAAACGCTCAGTATCTATTCTTTCTATCGATAGCGAAACAACAGGAGAGCCGACTCCCAGAACATCTTCACAGTTCAGTCGATCGAGGCCGGTTAGGGGCCATGGGCGCGCTGCGAGTCTACAGGTTCTTCCGAGGAGGAATGAGTTCTATGAGGAATCGTTTGCAAAAGGTACCTTCAATGAATAGCGCGATCGGGGATTGATCGATCATCAGGCTGACTACAGTCAATTGCTAGCAGGACGCAACACGTACCGTGGCTTTCCACCCCCGGAGTCCCCGGTCACTTCGTCTCCTGGAAACCCACGAATAGACATCGATGATGTAGGAGGACCTACTTCCCAGCCCTCATTCGAGACACCTCGTACACCTGCGCGTCGGCCTCAATTGCCACCTATCGAGTTCAAGTTTCCACCTTCGCCAGGGACTGATACACAATCTCGCCCTACTCTATCACCTCTCGCAACACCCTTCGAAGAGGGTCCTGGACAAACAAAGCCCAATGGAAGGGAATCGGCCACATTAGCTGCCCCGGGCCATTTGCCTCAACTCACCAGGATCATGTCGACCTCCAGCCTCACCGGTAGTCATAGAAGCAGCAACGAGTATAACTGTGTCAGCGACAATTCTTCAGAAACTCTGCAATCCGAGTACACCAACTACTCAATGGCGATGCCGCGCCAGAATATCCCTCGTCACGCGCGACACATGTCGAGTATTGAGTCTCCGGGAGTAATGACCAAGAGCCAGACTCTCCTCATGGGCTATGCCCAGATCAGTGCATCTTTCACTGTTGACGGTTCACTGATTCATCAGTCACATTTCGAGGAAGTAAAGCGAAAAGGTGTTGTCGGTGGTGCAGGGTCTGCGCCGGGTATGAACAGCGGGAAACCGGCTATGAACAGCGGGAAACCGGCTATGAACAGCGATAAGAATCGCAAAGGCGGCGGTTTCTGGGGCGCCTTCAAATGGAATGCAATCGAAGAGTCTCTGAGCGGTTTACTCTCCAATAATGAGTTGGATGGCCTACGAGATATGCGAGGAGTTTCGTCTTCGAAGTCCATACCATTGCTGTCTACTACCCAGTCCCTTCTCTTCGTGGACCTACGACTGGCACCGGGAGAAGAGCAGTCTTACTCCTTTGCGTTTACCCTGCCATCGGGTCTTCCAGCCAGCCATAAGGGGAAAGCTATCAAGATCTCTTACAACCTCGTCATTGGTACACAGCGGCCGAGTGGCCATCATGAACCCCAACGGGTCAACCGTATCAGCATACCCTTCCGTGTGTTCAGCGGCGTCAATGGTGAGCTTGTCGTGGTTCCTTTGGTAGCGAACTGTCACTAATCTCTTCAATAGGCCATGGCGAGATAATGGGTCACGACCTGATGAGCCCGTATGTACTCCTTCGCGACGAGGCGCGAGTGCAGAAGGTTGGCCCTACCCCGCCGCCGGCAGCCAAGCCCAAAAGCATCAGTGGGCCGACGTGGACGTCAGCCCCAGACTTCTTGTCGTATGTGGATGACATCCTGGAGCAGAGTGCACGCCAGAATTCGCTGCAACCGCCCGAAGCAACGCCCGAGAAGCGCGCAAGTCGAGACACATCTACGGGGCACCTCACTTGCAAGGACGCTATTGATCTTGCCATTCTGCGAAGCAACCAGGCGCTTGGTTCCTCGCGCAGTCCTAACCGGTTTGAGATTGCCCGAGACGGGCGCCGAATTGCTGTCGTGGTACTCAACCGTCCGGCGCACAGGCTAGGCGAAACCATCATCGCCACCGTCAACTTTGCAGACGCGGCACTTCCCTGCTACGCCCTGCGGGCGACGTTAGAAAGTTCAGAGAGAGTTGCAGGACATCTAGCCGTGCGATCAAACGCCAGCATCCGCCGTGCGACTCGAAAGATCCATGCTTCCTATTTCGAAAATACCCTGTATGCAACGCGCGTTGTTTTCAGTCCGGCGGTTCCGGTATCGGCGACGCCGACCGTCATAACCACGGGGGTTAATCATGAGTGGGAATTACGGTTCGAGTTTGTCACTAGCAGTATCCACGATGGTTCAGCTCCTTCGGGAGCGCGGCTGCTCGAAACCGTATCGGAAGACGATCGCGGGCGCATCATGTCCGCGTTAGAGAACTTGGGCTGCGAATCGTTCGAAATCGCCATCCCTATCACGATTTACGGAGAGACAGTCCGGGAGCGATTGCCCGAGGAGAATGAAGGATACTCTATATGACTCATGTCTGGGATAGCTTGGCGCATTCATTAACAAGCCAAATCTATTTGTTCCATCAGTCAGTCGTCTTCTGAATAGTTCACCGACCCGGCGGAGGGTTTTGTTTTGCTATGACGGCGAATACGACGGCCACAGCAGACTTGAAGACTCCTAGGTACCATCTAATATATATTTTTTCACAATTCCAACAATTTGTGCCATCAAGTGGCAGCCTACCTACGTAATAAAATTGAAGAACCTCAATATCCACTACAACCTTGACGATGTACTAATAAAGGGCCGGTTTCCTTGCGGCTGGCTGATGTCGCCGGGGCAACGGACGGGGCGATTGCCACCCTGGACGCTGCAGCACCCATGGATCCGGTCCTTGGGGGAGGTTCCGCTTGTGGGATCGTGGAGAAGGCAGGCCGGAAATGCGATCGATATAGATCGCCCTTCATCGCCCCTCCTTTGCAGTCGTGTGTGTGTGTGTGTTCCGTGTGCCTTGTTTTCATTTCCTGAGGTTGTTGTCGCGCCTGTCTGTACTTGGTCAGAGCGGCTCCATCGCTGATACTCTCCAACTTTCGCCTCCTACTACCCTCTTGTCCCTCCACTCATTCCGCCGGCCGGTCTATTGCTCCCCCCTCATCGGCGCGTGCTACTATTCAAATATCCCTAAAGAGGTAAGACATTAAGGCATGGAGAATCGCTTTTTCCCAGATTTCCTCACTGTTGAGCCCGTAAACGTGACTGACAGGCGCTGACTTGGTTGGCATCGGCATGCAGGCGCATTCTTCCAACGGAACTCTACACAACACCTCGTTTCGACCACGAACACCGGAAAAGCGCCCGTGGCTTTGTATTTGACTGAAGGGAGGAACCAAAAGGAAAGAAAAGAAATTCGCAAGGAGATGGCATCCTTCATCACAACCATGTCTGTCCCCATCCTTTCTGTTACTGCTTCGTCCGATGTTGGACAGCCTGCCCCGCCATCCTCATCTTCTCCCCAACCTTCGCTCCCATCCTCTCCGTCCATCATCTCCCCTTCAGTTTGCTATGGCACCGTCCAAACTTTCCCTGGTCCCTTCTCTGAGCCCCCCTCATATCTATCCCCGGCAGTACGCGCCCTGAAATATGATCCCGCTGGACTGACACCTCCCAGCAACGCTCGGACCCGAGCTCCCTTCAAGCCGCGGTCGGCAGCCAAGGGCACCACTAGCTATCAACTGAGACAGTTCGCAGAAGCAACCCTGGGAAGTGGAAGCTTGCGGAAGGCCGTGAAGCTTCCAGAAGGCGAGGATTTAAACGAGTGGCTTGCAGTTAATGGTAAATATACTCTGGAGGCTTGCAGCAACTGTATCATCAAAGCTAACGGTTTGGTCCAACGTGCAACAGTGGTCGACTTCTACAACCAAATCAACTTGCTCTATGGCGCGATCACAGAATTCTGTTCTCCGCAATCATGTCCGGAAATGAAGGCAACTGATGAGTATGGAGCTATCCCCGATACCTGGTCATGGCAATGCAGAGCTGACGATGGATGTCCAGATTCGAATATCTCTGGCAAGATTCGGAAAATTACAAGCGACCGACGAAGATGTCGGCCCCAGAATATATCGAACATCTGATGAGTTGGGTACAAAGCAGTATCGACAACGAACAGATTTTCCCCAGCAGGCTTGGTAAGTCACACCTTGAGAGAGTGCCTTGAGAGCAGACTACGCAAACTACGAGTGCAGTGAGCAGGCGCTAATACAACTTTCTACCTCACAGGTGTCCCCTTCCCCAAGGTGTTCCCGAGCCTCGTGCGCCAGATCTTTAAGCGGATGTATCGCGTGTATGCGCACATTTACTGCCACCACTACCCGGTTGTGGTCCATCTCGGACTGGAGCCTCATCTAAATACCAGCTTCAAGCATTACGTGCTCTTCATTGACGAGCACCGTCTGGCCAGCGGCAAGGATTTCTGGGGTCCGTTGGGAGATCTTGTGGATAGCATGCTGCGCAGTGACTAGAGATGAGATCGGTCGAATGGCTAGACGACCATGAAGAAAGAGGTTGAGAGGATGGCGTTTCGGGTGTTGGCATTCGGGAGGGCGCATTTCACTCGTAGAGGCAGTCTGGCGTTACATAGCGTGTGCGGCTGTATTTTGCATTTTGAGAACGAATAAAGGAATGAAGACTGGAGAATTGTTCCCATATATAGCACCGCAATCACGATAAGATCTTCAAGGATCAAGTCACTCGCAGTAGTGGATAGCCGAAAACCCGGCGTGTGCGGGATCTCACGTGACCGCTAGCCGGCAGAAGTTGGACGTCGCCCGTCCATCCCAAAGCACGACGAACCACCAGCCCGTTGCTGCTCGCTCAATCCCCTCCCCGACGCCCCGTCCGTCTCGCATCTAATCTCTCCTCCTCTCTCCCTCGAGGTCTCCGTCTCCAGATCACCATGTTCTCCGTTCGCGTCGCCCGTGCCGGCCTCCGTGCCACCGCCCAGCAGTTCTCCGTGCCTCGCACTGCCGCCGTCAACGGTCTGAGGACCTATGCCACCCCGGCCCAGGATGTCAAGCCTCCTGTCTCCCTGTTCGGTGTTGACGGCACCTATGCCACCGCTCTGGTATGCGATACCATGTTCCTACCCGTTGGTTGCTAGTCGTGGCTCTGAGGTTCCCTTGAATCAATGGCACGGAAGAAAGGAAGAAACACGAAAGAGGGGGAAAAGGCGGACGGGAGACCTAAGAAAACAAAAACAGAGATTCCCACGTTCTAGCAACCTCTTGATCACAGAACTGGACAACTTCAGGAAAGCTCCCTGGCTAACCGATCGTTTTCGTTTCTCTGTATAGTTCACTGCCTCTGCCAAGTCCGCCAGCCTCGACCAGACCTCCAAGGCTCTCGCCAGCCTCGGTCAGACCCTCAAGGCCGACCGCAAGCTGACCACCATCCTCTCCGCCCCTACCCTCACCGTCGCCGACAAGCAGCAGATCGTCCAGGAGCTGCAGAAGGTTGCCGGTGCCGACAAGGGCGACATCCTCAAGAACTTCCTCGCTACTCTGGCTGAGAACAACCGTCTCGGTCTCCTCGAGGGTATCTGCGACAAGTTCTCCACCCTCATGGGTGCTCACCGTGGTGAGATTGAGCTGAACATCACCAGTGCTCAGGTATTCTCTTCTGTCGGGCTTTTATATTGTGGGGCTTTATACTGATTGTTGGGAAACAGGAGCTCGACACCAAGACTGTCAACCGTCTCGAGAAGGCCGTTTCCAAGTCCGAGTTCAGCCAGGGCAAGAAGCTCAAGGTTGTCACCAAGGTACATGATCCATAATATCCCGATTTACGCTATGTATACTCATATGTTGAAAACAGGTCGACCCCGAGCTCGTCGGCGGTCTGGTTGTTGAGATCGGTGACCGCACCATCGACCTCAGCGTCTCCTCCAAGATTGCCAAGCTCAACAAGGCCCTCACCGACGCTTTGTAAATTACCTAAAGAATCCACCCAAAACACAAGAGGGATGCACATGTTCACATTAGGCGTCTCTTGAGCTTCCATATTTAGTTTATATCAACTCCCTGTACCCCTACCGAATCGATCTACCTCATTCATCCTCTATATTTCTTGCTAGCATGAGCTCTAGTTCTGGAGTCGAATAGACAGAATTGAGTTTTTATATCACCCGTTTTGGCAGAATAATGTGCGGGTTCTCACTAGTAGTTTGACAGCTGAATAATATTTGTAAGCTACTGTACTATCTAATTAACATTCAAACTATCCGACCAATGAGTAAATCTATGCAGCAGCTACGAAAAAAATATAATTAATAAAATGCGCTTTGAAGGGGGAATCAATTTGGTTGTGTTCGGGGCCCGCGGGCAACTGGGGACACGGCACGGGACGATCGACGCGGCATCCTAACTTATGAAACAAGTGTCCTCCCTTCAGATGTCCTTTCTTCCTCTCCTCGTCCCCAGTCCCCCAACCAAGATAACCCGTGACCAGGGTATCAATTGACCATGACGACCAAATCTAAAGATGTCGAGCTGTCCGACGACATCCAATGGATCGAAACTCCCGCCCAAGCTCCTCCCAAGTTTGAAACCGGCGAGAGCTGTGGAATCGCCCTGACCAATGTCAGTCAATTCCTCCATCCCCATTGCTGGCGTATTGCCAAGCTGTCCAAAACCGTGCTGACGACTTCTTCTCAAAGGCCAAAAGCATCAACAATCCTCCCCTGCCAGCAGATGGTCCTGGAAATGAGAGCTTCTCCAACCTCCTGTTGGGCGGCGCCATCATCGGAGTCCCCGGGCTTCTGACCTACCTGCTCGGTGGTGGAAAGAAAACCTTCATCTTCTTCACTCTCGTAACCGTTCTCCCTGTCCTCGTGGCCTTCTGGACCTACACCTCGACCTTCAGCCCCCGCACCAACGAGAAAGTCAAGCTCCCCGGCCGCCCCGTTGAGCACTACATTACCTTCAAGCGCGACGAAGACCGTGCGAAATGGAGCGGACGCAACAAGATCCCCATGCAGACCTTTTCGGAAATGTACCTGGACGGCCTGGTTGACTTCAATGGCGATGTGCTCGAGATCCTGGAATACCGCCACGACTGGGCCAGCTTCGCCTTCACCTTGGATCTGTTCAAGTTCATCGTCGGCACCTTCTTCGTCGATGTGCTCTTCCACACCAAGGCCCAGGATGAGGAACAAATCCGTCCCAACTACGACCGGGGTAACGACCACTACGCCTGGTTCCTTGGCCCTCGCATGATCTACACCTCCGGAATCATCTCCGACCCCGATCGTGAAGAAACCCTTGAGGAACTGCAGGATAACAAGATGGCCGTTGTTTGCGAGAAGATCGGCCTCAAGGAAGGCGAAACCATGCTGGACATTGGCTGCGGCTGGGGTACCCTTGCCAAGTTCGCCAGTCTTAACTACGGCGCAAAGGTGACCGGTCTCACCATTGCTGAGAACCAGACTGCCTGGGGTAACGATGCTCTCCGCAAGGCCGGCATCTCCGAGGAACAGAGCCGCATTGTCTGTATGGATTACCGTGACATCCCCCGCACGAAGTACGACAAGATCACTCAGCTGGAAATGGGCGAGCACGTCGGTATTCGCAAGCTTACTGGATTCTTCCGCCAATGCTATGACATGCTTAACGATGATGGATGCATGTATGTGCAGCTTTCGGGTTTGAGACAGGCTTGGCAGTATGAGGATTTCATCTGGGGTCTGTATCTGAACAAGTACATCTTCCGTGGTGCCGACGCTTCCACTCCCCTCTGGTACTACGTGAAGTGCCTTGAAGGAGCTGGCTTCGAAGTCAAGGGGTAAGCCACCATTCCTACTACCCCCGTCCTCCAAACAAACACTCACATCAAAACCTTTGAGTAGTATCGACACCGTCGGCGTCCACTACTCCGGCACCCTTTGGAGATGGTACCGCAACTGGGTCGGCAACATCGAGGCCATCAAGGCCAAGTACGGTCCCAGATGGTACAGGGTGCGTATACCCTTCCCCCTCCACTTCTTAATCTCAACGCACATCTAACCCCCAATTCTCAACTACAAATAGATCTGGGAACTCTTCCTCGCCTGGTCCGTCATCGCCTCCCGCCAAGGCTCCGCAACCTGCTACCAAATGGTGGTGGTTAAGAACCTGAACTCGACGCACCGTATCAACGGATTGGCCAGCCAGTTCGGTCTTATGGGTGCTCTCGCTAAGAGCCGGGAGGCGGGCAAGTCCCGTCTGCCTTAGACTTGATTTTAAATCGTCTCTGTGAGATGATGATCATCATCAATTGATATGCAATTGGCATCGGACGGATACGTAATGTTACTATGTTATGTATGAAATATGTTCATGAAATATGAGGTGGATGGTGGGACAGATGAGTGCTTTGGATATGATGTGATAGAAAGATATGATTTATGCACTATGACCTATCATTTCAGGATTTATCGCAGCGCTAATCAGTTTACTTACTGGATGTGGTTGGTTGGCGCCTGCGATGGGGGTTAGTATGTATCAAGGATATGGGAAGAAAGTTTTGTTGTTATGATTAGATAGATATCTAGATGAAATGGCACAATTCTGGTAGAGATAGTGATTTGGTATAGGATGTAGATCTACCTAGTTACTGGCAGTTCTACTACTTGGTAATAGACTGAGGGTTCTCTGAGAAACTACTTTAGGAGTTTTCATAATAGTAGTTTTTTTTTTTTTTTTTTTTTTAGTTCCGGTGCTTCGGAAACGCAGTCATCAAAACTGAGACGCTCAATCATAGTGGTAGGGAGTATACGCTGGTATTTAGCCCATGATGTTGTGACTTTGCAACGAATATATAATCATCTACATCATCTACATCCTATGTATCCACAACCATTACTAACATGGAACCATATCATCGCACTATATCATCCCCTATGCAAGTCTCCCTCCTCTAGTGTATCGCTCAATGTCCATTCGGGACTCGATCAGCCTGTGCTTCAAACTCGTCCTCATACGCTCCCATCGATGCCCGACTGCGGACACGTTCCAACTGACTCTCCACGTACTGCGACACATGTTCGTCATCTCCAAATCCCAGTCCCGACTCGCCGAGTTTCTCATCATCATCCAAAGCGGATTCTGGCCCAGGTGTGCTACGACCCGTGAAAGCAGACTCAAAGTCACTGCGGTTTCCGATTGACCGGCTGGTGGATGAGCGGCGCACGCTGGGGCGACGGCTCCCGCGTGGTCGCACTGTCCGCGAAAAGATGTCGTCAAAGTAGTGCGATGCTGCTGCGAATGGCGAGCGGGGGGTCTGTGGGACTCGGCAGTTGATTCTGTTGAGTTGGTTAGAGTTATTCATAATAAAGGGACATTGATTAGTGTCGCATGGCTTACCCCGTATCGTGGATGATCTTAGCAATCAACCCGGTCCATCCACACTGGTGAGATGCTCCCAGACCCCGACCAGTGTCTCCGTCGAAGTACTCATGGAACCACATGTAGTCTTTCCAGTGCTCATCAAAGTCGAGAAGGTCGGAGCCATTGTAGACGGCACGACGTCCTTCGTCGTTGCGCGCGAACAAGTGCTGTAACCGGTGCTGGATCTCCTCCGCCACATGTCCCAGATGCATATACTCTCCGGAGCCTGTGGGACATTCCACCTTGAATGAATCGCCATAGAACATGTAGAATCGTAGCAGAGACTCGACGAGTAGGAAATTGACACACAACCAGACCGGTCCCCGCCAGTTGCTGTTACCGCCAAAGAGAGCGCTGTCAGACTCACCAGGAACATAGCTGACCCGGAACATCTGGCCGTTCACCTCCATTGAGTAAGGATGTTCCTCATGGTGCTTAGACATGGATCGAATGCCGTGCTCTGAAAGGAATTCCGTCTCATCCAGCATCCTTTTGAGGATCTGCTCCAGACGGCTCTTGCTCACGAGGGACAGGAGGAGCCGCTCATCCTTGCCACGGTGCTTCATGCTGGCGATATTGCGCTCTGCCACGTCTTGCCGGTTCTCAACAAACCATTCCAGTCGCTTCTTGAAGGAGGGGAACTTGTTGATCAACTCGGGCTCGAGGGTGAGAACAGCGTACAGAGGGATCAGGCCAACGAGGGACCGGACGGGAAGCTGTTGTGTCCAAGGATCACCATAGGAGATTGCGTCGTAGTAAAATCTACCCAAAGTAAGCAATTAATAGATATATAAGTAGAGGTAGACACGGCTTACCCATCATCCTCATTCCAAAGGGACGTCTCCTGCCCTCCGGACTTGAATGTCATGGCATCACTGATCAAAATGAAATGCTCGAAAAACTTAGATGCAACTGTGCGTCATTTGTTAGCCGATGAAAGTCTTAAAAAATATAGTATGCTTACTGTCTTCGTAGATCCGCCGGTGCTTGGCGAGTTCGAGGGCAATATTCAGCATGCACAGGCAGTAAAATGCCATCCAGCCTGTACTATCAGCCTGCTCTAGGACACCCCCGGTAGGAAGAGGCTCCGATCTGTTGAATAGCCCAATATTATCCAGGCCCAGGAAGCCACCCTCAAAGACATTTTTACCCTCAGAGTCCTTGCGGTTGACCCACCATGTAAAATTGAGCAACAACTTCTGGAAGACTCGTTCCAGGAAATCAAGATCCTGCCGGCCATACATCTTCCGCTCGATCTTGAAAGTCCGGAACGTGGCCCACGCGTGGACCGGTGGGTTCACATCACCAAAGTTCCATTCGTACGCTGAGAGCTGCCCGTTCGGATGCATGTACCATTCCCGGGTGAGAAGGTCCAGCTGTTTCTTCGCAAAATCAGGGTCTATCATGGCCAGCGGGATGCAATGGAAAGCCGTATCCCATGCACAGAAAAACGGATACTCCCAAGAATCAGGCATTGAGAGAATGTCGTCCATGTACAAGTGCTTCCACTGTTGGTTACGGACATGCTTTCTACCCGGCGGAGGTGGAATGAGGCCGGGGTCACCATTTGACCACTGATCCCACACGAAATGATAAAATTGTTTATTCCACAACATGCCAGAAAATGCCTGTCGCTGAATGTTGCGTAGATCATCGCTCATGGGAAGCGGGCTGATGTGGTAATAGAAGTCGTCTGCCTCGGCCCTGCGTTCATCGATGACATTATCGAGGACCTCTTCATCCAGAAATGTACCCCTTTTCCGCGAAAATTTGAATCGGACGACAGCGCATTCTCCAGGAGGGATTCCTTCACCCTCATTGAAGGCGTACCAGGCACCGAACTTGGTACCCTTGTTCGCAGGGTTGACTGTGTCCTTTTCTCCATTGACAATGAGGCGATGGAAGGCGTCCTTCACGTATGGCTGACTGTTCTTGGTGTTCCACAACAGTTCGTTATTCGTCTCGTTCTCTGTGAACATCATTTGAGGGAATACATCGTCCTGACCGTCGCCAACAGGCGGCGAGGGGGCGAACTGCACATATCGCTCCCCAAGTTTATGATGAGATGTTTTGGCTATCATGGGATGCACCTTCTCGACAGATGGTTTCTCTTTCTGATCTTCATAGCCCCAGGACCAGGTGTTACGGAACCAAACATGAGGGATGATGTGTAATGGGGCAGGCTCTGGTCCTCGGTTGTATGCGATGATGCGGAAGAGCAGTTCTTCCTCATCATCTTCTTCTTTCGCTGTTTCGATGAAGATGTCCCAGTATCGGTTGTCGTCAAAGATTCCCGTATCAAGAATTTGATACTCGCGGTCTTGCCTTGAGCGTTTGCCATTTTCTTCCACGAGTTCCTTGTAGGGGAACTTCTTCTGGGGATACTTGTAGAGATATTTCATGTAGGAATGCTGAGAGCGCAATGGAGTCAGAAGGGCTGCGGGATCCGTCCACCTTGGAGATTGAAGCACAAACCGTCGGGGTATTATCAACGTGAAAATGAGCTTCCTTGATGCTTTCACCATGGTTACCTTGAGGATTCGACAACCCGAATAGGCGCTCCTTCAGAAAGTCGCTAGACCAGGGTGAGCTTGAGATTCAATTAGTCGTAACGGGGTAGACCCAACGTACTCTTTCTCGTTCCAGAATGCAAAGGCAATGTTCTGCAGGTTGTGGGTATCTGAGACGCCGGCAATCCCATCCTCACCCCAGCGGAAGGTCCTAGACCGCGCATGATCATGAGAGAAGTCTAGACATCACTTGATCAGCCCTGGCCGCGCGGCACACATGTGAATTGAGGGACTTACAGCTCCAAGCATCTCCATTCTCCCTGATAATTGATGAAACAGAAGGATCAGTAAATGTCGCTTGCTTTCTAGTCCAGATACCGAATGAGTGTGGATTAACTGGAAGACTTACGAGTAATCCTCGCGAACTGCGGGGCATCAAGGATGGTCATTAGTCCAGGTCCTTTCCAGCGCGATTTGGATGAGACAGGTAGTAGAGAAGCATACCAGTAGCCCATTGCCTCTCTGCCACATACGGCCCCCATCGTTTCCAGTACCGCGAGTGTTCACGGTCCTCTCTCAGGCGACGCTCTTCTTGGGATACGTACTCGTGCTTATCAATGAGCACCATGATTGGAATTAAGGTATGCTGAGGCTGAGTAGTTCAAGTGGATGAAGAAGAAGACCAGCTCCAAAAAACAATCGCGCGGAAGAAATAACAACGAAGGAATTAAGGAGTCCGAGATATCGAGGGGACGAGAAGACGGAAGAAAAAGCCTGATAAGAGACGAAGGGGAAGAGGAGGGCCGGGATGAGGGGTTGGGGAAAGGCGCAAGAGAGGAACAGGGAATGACCGGGAGCTCAGGGACCAGTGGCTGACATGGTAGGTCGCACCGACGCAGCTCCTGCAGGACACTTCACAGTTCAGAGCTCAGTTATCTATCGTTTTGGGGGTCTGGACCGTTGCTCGGGCGCTTTCTGTCTGGGGGGAGTTCCAAGGTCCGGGGGATGATTCTGACATCATTGGTCCTACCCGAGGAGAAATCATGAGTGAAGCTGGTTGATAATGCAATTTAGGTTTTCATTTCCACTCGGGGCCGATATTGATAGAATCCGAGAGGATACATTCGATTTAAAATGGTATATAAGAAATTGCGTGAACGATTCAAAATAGCATCCTGTCTTGTTGATGTTTCATTCTTCTGCCTCAAGTTCTTCTGCTGCTGCGCTCAGATACCCTGTTCCGTTGCCACCTCAAGACTCAGGCCACTATACTGGCCGCCCTACAAACCCAACGGATACCATACATACTATACTGTACAGTACGAGTTTGGTATCATCATGCAGGCCCGGCATCGCCATATTCGGCTAGCAGATCAGATGACAGGCCAGTATCCATTAAAAATGTCGTGCTTCGCCGGACTTTGGCTTGCAGATGCTGATGGTGAAACCATAACATGTCCTGCAGCCCACCCGCCTCACTAAAAGTCAAGTTTGTTGACAATATTAATATCAGGACAGGCAGATGTCAATGTGGTGACACCCACGCCAAGACGACGGAAATGTTTGCTGGCAGCCCTGTTCGCAGCAGATCATCCAAGTAGACTCTCAAACATCTGATACCCATCGCTAGTACCTAGTCACGTCTATACAATGGGGAAGCAGACTAGGCCCCCCCTCTCGGAAATTCTTCCGTTGGGAGACAGAGACGTACAGTCTTCACTGAATCGACCGCGCTCCTCTTCTTTAGGTAGACGCGTCATATTGGAGGTCCGAGCAGCGAGGACAACCTGCAGACTTCACTCGTGGGTACAGAGAAACGTGATGTAGACGATGGCCTGTAGGCGTGAAGGTATGGCCGGACGCTCCTCGGCAACAGATGGAGGTGCATTGTATGTTTACCTCTTTTCTTGTATCGCTCGAGGTCGAGGAGAAGAAATCGGTACAAGTACAAGTGGCGGCATTGCTGGTAGCAGAGGATGTTTGCAGTCCGAATAGGAACAATTCCTTCAATAGTCCAAGGGAAGGGGCAAACGCTGTTGGCGGATGGCCCGCGATAGGGCAAGAAAATCTTCCGCTAGTGGCATTAACGTGGCCTGGGTTAACTACCCCACCTTCATGCTCGCCTCAATTATAATATTGACAAGATGATGTGCGCTTTGCAGCCACACGTTGTCGGCCCAATTCGTGATGCGGTCTGCATCAGGCCAGTGGGAAGCTTTTAACTTGCAGCGATGCGACCGCATCGGCTTTCATTGACTGATATCAGATTCTAGATTGCATACAGCTGTCCTATATTGGCACCAGATATGCTGCACTGTGCATGGAAACCTGCGCGTATTTCGGCACGCTATCGCGTTTGATCTATTGACCACCCCTCACCCGTCTGATATAGGTGTGCAAAGAATGAGGTTCCATCATGACACCCTAATATAACCGCATTACGTGGCCGACATGGATGCCGGTCTTTCGCTTTCGTTATATTGAGACACAAATGCCAGAAATTGGAAGACCATATAAATGCCAACATATTGACTGTGTAAACAATATTTAACGCCAAATTTGACTGGACGACAAGCTCGACTGTCTCTCCGAAACTTTCGAAGATTGGGATGGCCCGCACAGAGGCGGATGTGGTCACCACCCAATACATCAGGGGAGGGAGCGACAAGTGAGCCGCGCCGGCGTTGTTTCCCCTCCAAGCCTTGATCGGCGTTGACGTGGTGGAGGGAAGCAATGACGGAGCGTCCAAGCCAACAGAACCGATTTCTCCAAACATGCCCGCCAAATGAGGATATATAAAAGATGAAAGCAGTGAAGTCGAATCCGTAATCTCCCATCCCAAACCTTGACCCAAATTATATGCTGATAATAACCGACCCCGGCCCGTCAAAGGCAGTCATGAGTTGCGGCCCTGACCACGCTGTTGTTCGTCGCCGCTGGAGTATTGGCCGGCGGAATCCGTAGGGGATGTCGATGCTGAGGTGGATGCTGCAACCAAGCGCTGTCAGCAACAATGACGACCGTGGCAGATGTTGTCCAGCTGGGAATCCTCACCTGACTGGTAGAACCGGTCCCCTCGTTGCGCCGAAGGAGACCTTGTGTTGTTTCCGTCGAGGACCAAAGACTGTCGGGCTTTGAGGCGTTCCTCAGCTTCCCGGATCCTAGCCTGAAGCTGTTCTAATTCTCGCTCCTGTATCATCATTTGGTGTCTCCTATGGTTGACAGGCTCGTCAGTTTCGCCGCATCAACACAAGCTTAGAAGCGAGACAAGATCGCAAATCATCAACAACCCAAGTGGAACCTACTTTTGATCGATGGTCTGTGAAAGGTGATTGACATCGGAATCAAGCGAAAAGGCGCTATCCAGCGCGGATGAGAAGGCTTGTGCCATGGTCCTGCCACGTCTTGGTCAACACCAACGTTGGGGGAGAGAAGGTCGCAAGAGAGGAGAACGAACGACTGTGGACGGTTCTTGGGCTTCCATTCTTGATCGATGTCCGACATTTTGTTTAGTGGTTGTCAAGGGCGTTGGGTTATGGAGCACTGGTATGGAGGATCGAAGCGAAAGGGGGGTAAGATGAATGCGAGAAGGTTAGGAAGGGGGGAAAAGGAGTATGTGAAATGAAGTCCAAGACGTGGGAAGGAGTTTAGAAGCGCGCGCGTCAAGAACGGAACAGGGGGTTATTAAGTGGATATGATAGCACGGACGGGGTGGACCTTGCGCTCAGAGTATTCAAGAGTGGACAAGGCGAGGAAGAAAAATCACCGAAGATTCGAAGAAATTGATTATATAGAAGCTTTGATGACGGAGACCAGGACCGGCCGGGATCTAAGTAATAACTATAAAAGGGGGCAGCGAGGACTTGAGCGATGGCTGGAGGGGAAAATCGGCAAAATTGCGGACGCCGTCGCACTACTGGAGACCGGGCAGGTAGGGAGGGACCACTTTTGGGTTATTGAGTCCGATGGGGATGGATGGATAATGACAGGGGCTGCACGATCGGCGGGGATGACGATGGCAAGCGCTGGGGGGAAAGATGGAGGTGGGATGCAGGGCCGTCGCGGCTTTAATTTCGTCGCAGGTAAAGAAGCAGCCGTAGAAAGGCGATGGAAGCGATGGCGAAGAAAGAAGGAGAGGATGGAAGGATAGACGAAGGGTGCTGGGTGTCAGGTCTGTGTCAAAGAATAGTCAATTTAGGTAAGTTGAAACTTCATCCATGGGTGGTTCGGGTGCTCCATGATTGCCTTTTGAGGGTAAATAGTGCAGCTCCATCCTCCTCACTAGTTGGGCGGTAGTGGAATTGCATCGTCCACTCTGCCTGGAAGGTGCCCCTGAATCCCGTCCCATCCTTCCATGACGGAGCCGCAACCAATGGGAAATTATACCGTCACGTGAGAGCGGATCTGCCCCTGTTTTGAGTCTTTGTGAGGCCACTCACCATGACTGCCTTGCTGCCACCCCCCGCCCCTCTTTATTGCCACCCGGCCACTCGTTTCTTTCTTATTGTAGATCCCAGTTGCCATCAATCTATACACCTTGTTGCACGACGCCGTTTTTAATTTTATCTTCTGAAACATTGCAACTACGGTGGCCATACTATACTATCTCCTCACGGGGCCTTTCCACACGGGCTTATGGACTGTCAGTATCAACGTCCGCGTCTTTCTATGCTTGCCCTTCTAAATCACATCCTGATCGTGATCGGCCTTTGAAGAGTTGCTTTTTCCTTGGATGTGCCCATTAGAGATACTCGCATAGGTAGTGACTAATAAAGACTGCCAAAGAGACCAATTTTGGTACACCACTCCAGCTATTGATATTTACATGTCAAATTCTTAGCAAAGCAAGCTCCAGAAGATCGCAACCTTACTGTTTAGCCCATCGCGATTATGCATGTCACTTACGAGAGCGGCCACTAATGCGGTGATCCCTATTCTTCCCTCTCAGCTTGGTTCTGCTTGCCAGAAATAGAATAGGACTCGGCTTGTACGCGGAGTCGGAGTCAGCTCAACTGCAAGTTATGAATGAGCTAGCTCCTATTTTGCATTCCAGGAAGGGTTTGGTAGCATCTGGCGTTTCAGGCACCGATGCTCGATCTGGGATATTACATTGATCTGTCTTTGATCTGTCTATAGGCCTAGTCCAGAGTATTTATAGCTGGGACGATCGATTTACATATCACAGATGTGCTGCAAGACGTCCGTGTGTACCTGCATATAACTATTTTCGGATTGCACAACATTCTTCCTCACCAAGTCCATCGGGCTGACTATGGGCAGCCTGCTATTACAAAATTTACTACGGAGCACCCAGAAACTATCGCATAATGACCTTACTCGGAATATAGACTCCTTTCCCCTTGTTTGGTACAGGAAAACGAGGAGAAACTCGGCCCGAAGACATGCCCGAAGCCGTTTCTCCAATCCAGTAGGGCAGCGGCCACATATCTGGAAGTTGGCCAAACTTTGGTGACCTGATTCAGAGAACACCTGCTGAATATGCGGCCAACATCATGGTTACTGAATCAGGTGACGACTAAGTCTTATTAAAATGCCGCACGCTGCGCGGATCCGACGGCAAATCCTGAAGGATGCAACCAAAGAGGGTCTTCTACAACAATTGACTAAGTCCGGGTGGAAGGTAACATCAATCATGTATAGCTAATCGTGAAGCAAATCTAATGTTACCGACGGCCTGCCATGCTATTGTACTCTCCGTTCATGCTCTATCAATATGAGTACCTGGTATTTTTGACTGGATTGGTCACACCTGAGCCCCGAGCTTACCTTGACCAGGCTTTATCTTTGAACATGGTTCTTTTACGGTAGTCTTGATTCTCAATGTAGCCATAATCGCATTACATCCTTTTGGTGATAACGTATGGATGTAGAAGCTGTGTTTCTCGCTCATCTGTGTTGTATGCGTTGCTGCGCATCAAAGCCTCGGGAATGTAAGATACGGACGGCATGCCGGTAAGCAGCTCCGCTTCCAACTTGCCGATATAATCGCAGTAGATGTGGCTGGTCTATGTTGGGATAAATCCTACTTAGTGATCTAGGCTGAGAGAAGCTAGCTTAACCATGGAATTAACATCATCTCGGACATAACGGATAAGTACCTCCGAGTGTGTCGGAGGTGGCAGCTCATGCCCCGCTATTTAGTCCCCTTCCCCTCATCCCTTCGGTCAGCGTTACTGTGATTTTCCACAGCTCAAGATCAAATCAGCCTACAGCATAAATCGTCGATAAGCAATCATGGCATCCCTCCCCGCTGGAAGCTGCTGTTACCAAGGCGTCAAGCACGAAGGTGAAGCCAAGGGTAGCTTCTCGCAGCTCAATGATTTCGAGATCTACACCAGCTCTCCTGCTGACAAGTCCACCGAGAATGGTATCTTAGTGTATGTCCTGCCTCCAGCAATGACCCCAAAAAGATCAAGCTAACAAAAGGAAGCATCACGGATGTGATCGGACACCGCTTCATCAACGCTCAGCTCATTGCCGACCAGTTTGCCGCTAATGGCTACTTCGTTATGATGCCTGACCTCTTCGATAACGACGCCATCCCGCTCAACCGCCCTGACGGCTTCGATATCATGGCATGGAAGGGTGGCGCATACCACAAGGACAAGAAGCCCCATACTCCCGAGGTCGTCGATCCTATCATCGAGGCATGCATCAAGGAGATGAGGACCAAGTATGGATGCAAGGTATGACTCCCACTAGCGGGCTGAAGTGACTATGAAGGGAATTAACATCTATCAGAAAATCGGTGCCGTGGGTTACTGCTTCGGTGGCAAGTACGTTGTGCGCCATCTCCGCCCCGGCCAGATCGATGCTGGATACACCGCCCACCCGTCCTTCGTCGAGTCGGAGGAGCTGAAGGCTATCAAGGGCCCTCTGGCTATTGCTGCTGCAGAGACTGATGCAATCTTCCCCGCTGAGAAGCGCCATGAATCCGAAGAGATCCTGAAGGACTCGGGTCTCCCTTACCAGATCAACCTCTACAGCGGCGTTGCGCACGGCTTTGCTGTCCGTGGAGACCCTGCCAACCGCACGGTGCAGTATGCTAAGGAGAATGCTTTCTTGCAGGCTGTTCAGTGGTTCAAGGAGCACTTGTAATGATGTGACTTTTGTCTAAGATAACCTACCTAAAATGGGAGATATGACGACGTCAATGGAATGTAGGCTATATGGCCATTTATATCAAAAATTGTTAGATCTTCTAAACTTATGTCAATCATTTATATCTGAAAAGACATGTGAATCATTACAATCAAGGAACACACAAGCTCGAAGGTCGTTCTCGCTTTAAATCTCCAATCTCAGGTAAGACAGAACAGGAAATCCTCCACATCCAGCTGACGATACTTACCGCATAGCTTGACGTTGAAATAACCTCTTCAGAGTACTACTTCGGTTCTCTATATTAACAAGTATACTTCCACTAGTTATGAGTTATAGCAAGGCCAATATTACGCAAAAAGCATATAAAGCGTAGACGCTAGCATCAATTCCACCAATGGGGGCTGTGAACGGGAGCATGTCAATGACAGGGCGTCGCTGACATGGCCCAAGCGCAGTCTCTTATAACTGATCAATTCAAGATAGGATGTTCCTGTATCTGATTATTTCAATTTTTCGGGATTGTGGATAGGACGTATTATACAGAGATTGCTCGTTCAATCCGGTTACCCAGACTACATACTCTCTGCATTTATGCATTCCGTCTAAGCATACTATGATATAGTCGTTCGCTCTTCTTATTCACCTTTAATTGCCTTCTATTCTTTTTTTTTTCATTCATAGAATCCATCATGGTCAGACTATCAGACCAGGAAGATTTTCCTAACGAGAAACCCCATGATCCAACAAACCAGTCTTCTGCCTCCCTCCCACCCATCGACCACGGCAAAGATGCCTGGTTCTTCCTCGCCGCCTGCTTCGTCATGGAAGCCCTAGTCTGGGGGTTCGCCTTCACCTACGGTGTCTTCCAAGACTACTACAGCACACTCCCCATGTTCCAAAACCCCAACAACATCGCCATCATCGGAACATGCGCAATGGTAAGTCAGCCTTTCCACCCCTCCCCTCCCCTCCCTTTAACTAACCAAAACACCCCAAATCAGGGAATAATGTACCTCGACCTCCCCATAATCTTCACCCTCTACCGCACCTACCCTCACTACCAGCGTCTGGGCTGCGCCCTCGGCGTCCTAACAATGTGTCTCTCACTGGGCCTCTCCTCCCTCTCCACAACCACCACCCACCTGATCATCTCCCAAGGCATCTTCTACGCCATCGGCGGAAGCATCGCCTACTCACCGTGCATCCTCCTAATGGAAGACTGGTTCGACCAACGCCGGGGCTTCGCCTTCGGCGTCATGTGGGCCGGCACCGGTCTAGGCGGCGCGATCCTCCCAATCGTCATGGAAACACTCCTCGATCGATACGGGTTCCGGATAGCGTTGCGCGGGTTCGCAGTCGTGCTGTTCGTGCTCACAGCCCCGTTGGTATGGTTCGTTAAGCCTAGAGTGTCGCCTGCAGTGCGGAATAGTACCGACCCAGCACAACAACAACAACAACAACACCATTCACCACGACCAC